CGGCCGCCGAACAGCAAAACTGCACAAACAAACCAAAAACTAAATAACAACGAAAATATATACGCCGACTGAAGTAGATCCAATGATTTGTAGAGTAGATCTGATGATTTGAAGGATTAAGAAGGCGCTAACCTTCTGGATCTAAACGGGTATAACGAGAAACGCAAGGAAGAAAGTAGAAGAGTGTATTATTGTGTCTGAAAATGAACTCTATTATTGTGTCCGAAAATGAAAAAACGAGGACAAAATTTTGTTAATGTGAAGAAAGAAAACGACACAACCGGCAACGGACAAAACAAATTTTCCATAAGGAAACCAAGGAAAAAACAAAAAGCATAGCGGTCCAGTCCCAACTGGCCACATCAGCTTGCTTGACCGGGAACCCCCCTTTAACCGTGCAACAAAAAGGGGGTTCCCCCTTATATATATGTAGATATAAATATAAATTAATAAACGTTTTAGCTAATAGTCTACCAAAGCAGGCATCTAATAGTTTATCACTGGAACATAATAGCTCAAATGAACTTCCTGTTACATTGCTAGTTATACTGTATTTAGATAAATGATCTTTCCCATACCTTCGTACAAGATAGGAGGGATAAGATAAATATAGGACCTAATGAAATAGTTAGGGAACTGTTTTTATTTTTTATTATTTGTTTTGTTTAAATAAGACTATCATGGAACTTTTGGTAAATCTTTATATGACAGTCCTTTCTTTTGATAAGTATTAGACACGGCCTCATGTATTTTTAAAATTTTATTTAATAAAATCGATAGAATATCCGTCAAGTATCGCTTGGAATCATTATATCTTATTATATTAGAAACAAAAACCACACTTAAGAGAAAGCACTATCATTTGCCATGTGGCATTTCCACATCATATTTTTAAAATAAATTTTTATTACCACATCTCCTAAATTTAAAAGGCAAATACAGCCTAAATTTATTTTCACCTCCTATTTTCGTCAAAAAAAAAAACCACGGGTTCATAAAAAACCCAAATCCTCATCCCCATCTCCACGACAATCGACTACTCAATCAATCCCTTCTCCACAATTAAAAAAGAATAAATTCTTCATCAATCATCAATTAAGAATATGTGATGAAATATACTTATTTCCTATTAGCATATTCAATCTTTTCATTAGTGATGATCAACTACATCTTAATCGGATAAAATTTTAACTTCAAAAAATATTCTCTTTACCTCTCTATATAAACACAAAGGAAAAAAAAAAAATTCTCATTGATCTTGCTTCGGCCGTTGTGGTGGTGCCATTGCAGGTATTAAAATTTTAAATGATTTTATTTCCACAGATCATTGGTTTGGCTTTTATTATTTTCTGTTTTCCTGTTCAAAAATAACGTTATTACTATTATTTTTATGCATCCATCCGTTACAGCTACCGTAGCCGTTGTCAGGTAGTATGATGTGATTTCTTATTTGGTTAGTTAGCCTAGACTTTTTGTATGATTTTTTAGTTATGTTTGGATTGAATTGATTGATTGGGTTTTTGTTATAAAGTGTGGTTTTTTAAATTTGTTCTAGAGTGATTTTCTTTTTTTAATTATGGAGTCTCGGGTTTTTTTTCGTATATAGCCAATTATGAAGTGTGTTTTTTCTTTGTTTAATTGCTTTTGATTTTGTTTCATACTCCCAGTTGACCAATTATTATTATTATTATTATTATTATTATTAGTATTATTATTATTATTATTATTTTATTTACAAATGAAGCACGTTTTTTTTTTGTGTTCGGGGTTTCAAGAATATACTTTTTTGGATTTGGTTTTTAGACTTTTTTTAGTTCCTCATCATATAAATAGTTCAGGTTGCTTCTTTTAACTAATTTATGGGGAATCCTTTTATAAATTTGAGGTGGAGAGGGAATGAATCTATCTATATACTATACTAAGGCAAAAACCAGAGAGAGAAATCTAAAGTCAAGGAGCACATGCCACATAGGATTTTATCCTATGTGGCATTTTTTTAATTTTCTAGATATAAAAATGCATAAAATAAAACAATAATTAAAAAAAATGCAACTGAAAAAATTCAAACTCTATATTGATTCGATCAAATCCCCACAAATCCGATGGACGGATCTCTTCCTCCTAAAAAAAAAAAAAACGCAACTGAAAAAGAATTTTGTATTAATAATTTATTAAAATAATTAAAGAAGTTAGGCCAACCTGAAACTTCTATAATTTAGCTTCAAATATAGAATTGAGTTAAAATACTATGGTGATGGGTTGATGTAGTGGGAGTAAGAATGGCTCTGGCAAAGAAAAAAAATATTAAAAGGCTCCAATTATGACTATTCTTTCTTCTTCTTTTTAAATGTTTTGAAATCCAAATTTTTAGAAAAAGGTCATGATATCCAACCTTTTTTTTTTATTTTTCTTATTAAAAAATTGGAAGGTCTCTACAACAGGTTAGGGTTGTTGTTTCTGTAGTAACCATTCCTTATCATAAACCTTTTTTTTAAAAAAAAAATTCCTTATCATAATCTCTTAACCACCCTAACCAACCTTTACATCCCAGACTACCAATGTAGTCTACCAAGAAATATTGTAAAATATATAATTATTTAATTCAAAGTTCTTTTTTTTTTAATTTCTTAACAATCTTTTTTGCGTTAAATAAATTACCAGTGTATTCGTTTGGTAAAGTGTTGTCGATGTTTGTTTTATATTTTTCAATGAATTCATTATATATTTCATAAAAATACAAAAATCTATACAAATATTAACATTTTTTTGATTTGTTTGTGTAGTAATATCTATGTATATGTGTTCCCCGTCATCGGACGGGTCTAACACCTAGTGATGTTTCTACATTTATTTTTATTTTTTATACATCATTTTTACCTTCAGAAAAAAATAAAAATTTTCAAATTTTAATGGGCTATCTTTTACTCTTTTTTTTTATTTGCCATCGTGAAGTGAGTTCCTTTTTGCTATATCTTGAAACTTATGCAAATTTATATTATTTTCATTCTCATATTTGTGATCAACCAGTTTCAACAATTAACCAGTTTCAAAATCATATTTTTGATATTTTACTACCTATAAACTTTTGAAAGAAATAGTTCCAACAATTAAGCGTATACTCTTTGGAAGAAGCTAACTACAAAGTTATTATAAATCTCCAAAACTAAGTATTGATTTGGCACAACTAATGGAGAAAATCAATAAATTATCTTACTAATATTTAAACTTATTAGGATACTTTTATATTTTGTCTAGCATTTACTTCAAGACATATATTTGATCAAGTTTATTTAAGAAGTAACACTTATAAAATATTTCTAAAATCTTCAAACATTTCTAAAACGTACGGGACCAAATACAATTTATTTTTTTGCCAAATACAAACATCATACTTATAAAACATTTCTAAAATTCTTCAAATATTTCTAAAATATATCGGGCCAAATACAAAATATTGTTTTTCAAATACAAACATTTCTAAGATCTACAGATATATTGGGCCAGGGTCGCGCATTGCGCGACCAGACATCACTAGTATATTAAAGGAAAGAAAGATAATCAACAAGTGTCGTTCATTGAGACCATCAATCTTCAATTAACACGTGTCATTTGCTAATTAGTTGGTCATTAATCAGTTAAAATTTTATGTAAAAAGTTAATAACTATTATTTACTATATAAGATTTTTACAGATATTACAAATTCCTGATTAAGAGCTTGAAAATGAATATTTTTAAAAATAGCTGAGAAACCTCCGTCTTTAGAAGTCCTGCATTTACGAGTTTAAACTTTCAACCTATTCTCATTTTGGCTCCTAAAGTTCCATTTGTGTGCTACTTAGTCTTCAAATTTATCGATCTTACATTTTCAAGGACGATTAATTGTGTCTCATATTTATTAGAACTACATCTAATCTCCAAAGTCCCCTTACCTATAAATACGTCATAGGCATCTAGACATAATTTACGTATTTTTTAAATATATTTTTTAATCCAAACATAACATTAGTTGTGGTGACAATTTTTATTATACAACTTTTAAAAATCTGTGTTATAATATTTTTTTACTAGATTTTACAAATATACATCTCATAATTAAATAATGTCAATACCTCTTATTTTGATCTAAAATTGATTAATCAAAAAAAATATGACGGTTTTAAGAAATATTAGTAATTACATTATCTAATTAATCCTTTTGAAAGATACAATTTTCATCGTTTGCACGGGACACATAGTAGTTTACCTTTAAAAAAATCCCAATCCTATCATCCATCCGTCGTAAACAATACTGTGCGTTTATGACTATACTAATACAATTTCAGCCTATTGCAAAATAGAAAAAGTACTCTCATGCTGATAGTTTGAAACAGTATAAGTGTTGAACAGACCCCCAAAAAAAAAAAAAAAATTCTGACAAAAAAGAGTCTCCATTAAGTATCTCTTCAATCTCCACTGAATTTAATGAGTATGCTTGAGTGCTTGACAAAAACATTAATACAATAATGTCGATGGGAACAAATACCACATGTCCTATGTATTGAGGTCACAAGAATGATAAACAAAAATAGAACCCTTTTCCCATCAAAAATCAGTTTCCTTCCTTGCAGGACATATAGCATTGCACACATGAAAATAAATACTAAAAAAGGTAACCTATACATTAATCCAAGTTATACATATATGCCAAATTCGCCTTGTTTCCAGCCATGTACAGTATCTTCATCTTCCTCCACGAGGAAAGCACCCACAACACTGTAAGGAATAATGGAGCCAAAAATACGAAACAGAATCATACACGTGATATCATAAATGAATGTGCACTTAGAGTTTCAATGGACCGATGGTTTTGATTTATTTTGGCTTCTGTCTTGAAAATGTACAAGGATGGCCTTATATATCTAAAAGCAGGCGCACTGAAATCAAGCCGGAACACAAAACAAAATATGTATACAGTGTAGGACACCCTAATGATTTCAGATAGAAGGGTGAGGTAAGAATGTTATGCAGGAGCTAAGGCATGAAGAGGGCTTCTTTTTACCTTTGCGTTTCCATTCCCATTTCGCTTCTGACCATTGGCATAAGATCCTTCTGTTGGCATCACTGGCACCTTTCCGGCTCCACTCTGCTTCTCCTCTCTCACTTTATTGAAAATGTGAGTATAACCTTCTGCCGATGATGGATCCGTCTCATCCCAATCACCAAATTTGGGAACAGCAGGGCTGTGATCAGGCTGCCCAAAATTTTTAAAAATTGTCATCTTTTGAAGAAAGTATGATAGAGTAACATGGTACCCGAAAAAGTCAGCTCCTAAGAAACACTAAATTTCTAATTGAAAGTTGAAGATGTGTCAGACAAATGTTTCATAAATGTCACAATGGGAACGGGGGGAAAAATGATCTCACCAGATGATATTTCAAAGCATACTACCTCTGTAATATTAAAATAATTAATGCACCCAAAAGAAGATAACTGATAGCCGTGTAATATGAAAAATAGCTAATTATCTAATCCACATTAGTTAAAATATAGTGTGGTGTTTTAAGGAAGTAGTAACTGAAAACATACTGTATCATCTCCTCTCGTTACTGATCTTAGCCGTGATCTTCCAGGAGTCAAGGGAGCCATCCCCTGGCCACCTTCTACAGAGCTCTTTCGGTCCCAAGATGGCGAAGAAACTCCACTACCCTTTACTGCAGCCTTTGCCTGAGAATGAGGATGTAGTGGTGAGTTGTCAATACTGCGATCAGATCCAACACTTTGCCTAGAAATTCTCTTAGGAGTGTCACCCGCACTTAGACCACCGTGACGATGAAGAGGAGAATCATGGGCAGATCTTCGACTAGAGATCTCACTTCGTGATGGTGATTCAGTTGGCCTCCTCATCTCACCATCTTCTCGACTTACCTGCCGATCGTGCTTCAATCTGATCATGTCCGGGCCCTTTGGTCCTTCAACTTCTGATTTACTGCTTCCATATCTTGGACCACCTAGCCTATGATGAGGCGATTCATGAGCAGATTTCTGACTCATGGCATCAGAGTGCAGTGGAGAGTCCATTGGCCTCCTTGGATCGCCATCTTCTCTGCTTGAGAGCCTAGAATGCTTTGGCTTTGTTGTTTCTGGTCCTTTTTGACCCTTTAATTCGGCATCCGAATAATCTTGAGGATCATTTGGGTTCATCTTGGGACCTACCTTGCCCTTCCTATTAGCATTATCAAAGTAGACGGTATACGGAACATCCTCCTCACTTTCCCAATTGCCAAACTTTGGCGCTTGCGATCGCTGCTCCAAAAGAATAAATACTCAGTGTTACAAACCACAAGGATTAACTCCAAAAATGCAATCCATTCGAAAAAAGTATCCAGGCGGACTTTGTAGCACCTAGTTTTGTACTAACTTCAAGCAGAATTCCAGGTTCACAACAAATTTTTTTTCTGAAACTGAGAAAATTACCACATGAGAAAATTGCTACAAGCACGCTTACAGGAATGATAATTATGTAACTCCACCTCCTAGCTATGAACAGAAAAAGATGGAACAAAATGCATAGATATATCACTATGCAACATTAGGATGAGGGTGAGACTAGCAAGTTCTTGAAACTGGAGAGGATTCAGAATGATGAGTGATAACTTCACCTGAAACTGCCCCAATTTACTTCTAACTTTTGAGTAGATAGAAATCGAGTGATAATCACATCTCTCACGATGCTTCTAAGAATCAGAATTTTTACCTATAGTGCTATCACTTGATCTTTAACCATCCGTTTCTTTATTTCAAGTTTCCTCGAGCAGTAGGTTTCCCAGTTTTAAGGTTCTCTATGTAAAAGAAGTTATCAGGACTCATAGGGGATTGTAAGTACTTGTAGTGATTTTTATCATATCCTATAATCAATTTTTTTATGAGATCAAGGTCGCTGCTGCTTTAAGCAGATTTAGTTTTGTTCCCCACTAATATTAGCACAGTATCTTGCAACCTAACCTCCTTCCAAACTCTGTAAGCTATGATTCTGCTCTACACCAACATAACCTAACTCTGAAAGATTTCACTCTATCACAAAGCAGTTGCATAAGGGCGTTAGTACTGATAATCGTCCATTTGTCATCAACAATTATGACATACATGTGTGGAGCTATATATAACTCTTATGCACCTCAAGACTTAATCCCTTTACTATGTTTACATCATAAACGAACAAAAGACAACGTAACTATTTGTTGGATGAATAACGCAACTTGTCCCGGTGAATAGGCAACCAGGCAGCTTGACCAAAAGTACACTAATAATATCCCCCTTCTAAACTACGAAATCACATATCAGTCGCAAATGCATCTTGCACTAGAGTGGAAAAGAGATGCCAGATCTTCAATTTTTGACAAACAGAAATAATAACAAAAACAGCAAATATTGTGCATTTAAGTGTTGTTTTCTACGGGAGAATTTTCAGATAAAAACTTCTTACAACCAAACGATTGGCATAAGACCAAATTTCTTTGTAGACTTTTGACTGCTAATATCTTGTCGACGGTGGACACACTATAAATATGCAAAAAAAAAAAAAAAGAGAGGGAGAACAGAAGTGCAGCTAACAACAAGGAGTTAAATGAATATGTGCGAGGAACAATTATACTTTCCAAAAAACATGCTTAAAATTTGAAGCATGGTGAACAATCATCATTAATGTTGATGATCAAGCCATTGTACTTCAACAATCAGGTAAATTGCAGATTTTGATTTCAGAAAAGTTTGAAACTCTCCAGTAAACCTCAGAAATAATTTTGGGCAAAGTGGAAAAGACAATGCAGTTGCAATAGCACAATCTATCTCATCACACTTCCTTCAGCTTTGCTGTAAGAACCAGGTTTTTTTTTTTTTTTTTTTGGGGGGGGGGGAGGTAGTGGTTAAAGAACCAGCTATTTCATGTATAGAACCCCCGCTCACAGGTTCCATAAAGAAATTTCAAACGAACATGCCCTCGTACTCTCAACCTCACTGAAAAAGAGATCACAAAGGCAGTTATCTAGAGCATGTAGAATAACTTTTTCCCCATCTTCATTGAAGCGATTACAGATTTCACCAAGTTTTCACTCCCAGTAACTCAATAGAACTTTATGGCTCAAAAGTATAATATCCTAGCAAAATAAAGAACCGAGACCAATCGATTTCATTTTTATTTTTCAATTAAATGTTAAAAGTTGAATTGGAAATGTCAATAGTTGTGGTTGGAATGTAGAAAAGTGTGAAATATGAAAATATTAATTTCCAAATGACAGTGAAATGAAAACAAAAACAAAATAGGTGTAGACTGCTGTCCATGCATGATCCAAATATTCACAGGACAAAAAGTAAACAGTTCATGAAGTATGGCATGTACTAAAGAGCTTCGCGTTTAAACCACAAGAACCAATCAAAATGAACTATATTCATGCAATAAATGATTCTCCTTAAAGGAACATGATCTTGATTCTAAGCTTCAATTGTATACTTGATAAAGATAGGAATGCATAAAAAAAATGTAACTCAACACATGACTGTGAAGCTTGATTAATTTCAACATGTCATTATAAGATTTTCTGCCAAGAAGGACAGTAAGCACAGGAAGGTTCACTAATTTTCTGCAGCAGTACCCAGTGTTCACGACACAGTGATAAGTAGGGTGTCAATTTCCGACACGACACTCATTGACACCCCTAGTGATAATAGAGGGGTACACAACATGATGAAATAGTCCAGGAAAAAGAGAAAGCTACAGATTAAAACTACTTCCATTGACAGCTCACTTGAGCCAAAGAGCTACACGCTGAATAAGTTTAGACCAAACTGAAAGCGGCGATAGAACAGGGATATAAGGTAGTCAGGGCTAGTGTACAGGGATTTGAATTACATAATCTTGTAACCAATCTAACAAAGTAATTCAGCACCATTAAAGCAATTCATCACCACTAATAAGACATCTCTTGTAACCAAACGAACAAAGTACAAGACTCAGAATGCATGTGAAAATAGTAACTACACAAACAAAATCAAAGTTTGGGCTAGAGTGTAATGAAATATTACACATTCCTTGCTGTAGAATATGAATAAAGTTGGCTGCGTCTGAAACAATTTGACAAATATACATAAAAGAACTCCTTTCATAGTCCATTTTAGTTGCAAATAACTTAGCCAATTATATCTAAGATGTTTACTGGTCATTGGTCACCATAACAACAAAGAACTTAGAAAGAGTGGCATGTGTTTAGGAGTCTAATCAGATCAGAATTAGAAATGATACAAAGCAGTAGGAACCTTATTCCTTCACCACATTACTGAAACACTAGTACAAGCCCCGTGAACCCCTGTCAACCACTGCATTCCCAATCCGCGAACAACCCCCAACACAACCCCTGCCCCCTCCAACCCAAATTGCACAGGGAAGAGCGGGGCAACAGTGTTCAAGCTAGTGTATATCATAATTAAAGCCCATTTTATAAAATTCAAAATCAAGAACCAACTTTAGAGAAGAAAGTAGAAAACAGGTATCTATAATTGAACCTAAAACTACCTTAAATCGATTTCTACCGTTTCATGAACACATAAACCGAAATGGCAATCGTCCCATATCCAAATCCAGAATCAAGAACACAGATTCATTCCCAAATCACATAAATGGTAAAAGAAAACCATAATTCAACTAAAAATTAATTCCAAAAACCAATCATTTGCATACCACACCATTATTGAACAGGAAAAAAAAAAGAAAAACAGATCAGGGAAGTAAAAAGAACTCACAGCCATTCAAGTTTCCCCTTCCAAATACCAATCTAAAGAGACGAGCTGGGCTGAGCTGATTTCGAGCAAAACCCACCAAATAGGAAACCCCAAAAACCCGAAAAACTTCAAGAAGAAGGGGTACTTTTTTTTTTTTTTCTCACTGAATTTTTACTGCGACGGTTCAAACTTCAAAAGACAGCTTCTTATTAGAAAGACTTCTTGACATTTTTTTTGGGTTTATGATCAGAGGATGACCGGTTGACTGGCGCCACCGGTTTCATTTGACCTTAAAGTCTACTAAACTAAAGGGGTTCGGGTTCGTCTAGATTTTATCATTTTTTTAAGCACGTGACACGTGTCTGGATTATTGACTGCACGTGCTATTGCCGGCTGCTTATGGTCGTCTCTGCGCTGTACTGATGAAATAAAACCAACATGCTCTCTGTTACTACAATATTTATTTTTTTTCCATTAAACATGGGACTATGGGAGTTGGTTGTTTTTTTTTAAAAAAAAAAAATTAAAATCGAGTATTGGATTTTCAATTTGAAACGCACTTTTGAAAGTCGAATTTTAGAATTTTTTTTTTTTTTGTCATCATTAGTTTTCTACACTTGTTATGGTTGTTATTGTGGGACCCCGTGAATTGAAGCAAGCAGAAGGGAGTCCCACATCGGTGTACGGTGAGAGAGGTGATTTGTATACAAACTCAAACTGCTGGTTCTACTGGTAATTTGACTTAACCATTTTAGGTCTACCGAGGACGATTAACCAAATAGTTATTGGGTTAGACTTGGCAGTTGGGGCGTTACAATTGGTATAAGAACCAACCTAGTCCAGGTGCGGACCCACCTCTGAGCTCGCATCTATTCTAGGGCCTCTGAGCTGATATACTCTGAGCTCATAGGAGTTGTGAGACAAGTGAAACGCATATGTTCTAGGGCCTCTAAGCTCATAGGAGCTCATAGGAGTTGTGAGACAAGTGAAACGCATCTGTTATAGGGCCTCTAAGCTCATAGGAGTTGTGAGATAAGCTCATATCCTCTGAGCTCATAGGAGTTGTGAGATAAGTGAAACGCATTTGTTCTAGGGGAGTCTGGGCCAACTGTATGTATTGTGACAAGTGTTGTGTGACACCTCTGAGTTCATAGGAGTTGTGAGACAAGTGAAACGCATCTGTTCTAGAGGAGCCTGGGCCAACTGTATGTGCTGTGTGTTGCTGTGTATGTCTTGGGGCTTGTGGAGAGCCTGGGCCAACAGTATGTGTTGTTGTGTGTCTTGGGACTTGTGGAGAGCCTGGGCCAACTGTATATGACAAGTGCTGTGTGACACCCCTGAGCTTATAGGAGTTGTGAGACAAGTGAAATGCATATGTTTTATGGGAGTCTAAGCCAACTATATGTGCTGTGTGCTGCTGTGTGTGTCTTGGGGCTTGTGGGGACGCAAGGATCCAAAGAATCTCGAGTGTGAGACCCCGTGAATTGAAGCATGCAGGAGGGAGTCCCACATCGGTGTACGGTGAGGGAGGTGACCTGTATATGAGCTCAAACTGCTGGTTCTACGGGTAACTTAGGTTAACCATTTTGGGTCTAGTGAGAACGATTACCCAAATAGTTATTGCCCCAAACCTGGTAGTTGGGGCGTTACAGTTATACACTCTATCATTATATTAAAACTAGTATTAGCGTTACAATTATACACCCTATCATTATATTAAAACTAGTATTATACTCGCACGTTGTGCGGGAGATATAATTCTTTTAGGTTCTAAAAAAATTGTTCACATTGTTTTTTACATTAGCACTTGTTTTAAAAAAGAAAAAAATGGGGAGTTTTTAGTTTAATGGGTTGGCGTGAGAAAATTTTGGATTTGTTGTGTTTGATGATGCATGAGTTCGTTAAACACGATTGCAATTGGAAGGAACATATTTTACATGGATCAAATGGCATGATAGGAACTACTTTGATGCGTTATTTTATTTTTGTATTTGCATCTTTTAGTTATAATATACTCAAAGTTCTAGAAAAATGATCAAATTTGTAATTTATAATACTCTTGTCCTAGAAAAATAGTCCAATTTGAATTTTAAGGTTCATATTTTTTTAATACAAATTTCAAATTTTAATATGGACTAATTTTTTGGGATAGAGGTAATATTATTTTGAGGAGTAAATAATACGAACAATGACTATATATAGTAAAATGATATTGACTCGTGTAAAGACGAAACGAAAATACCATTCTATTAATTAAATTCATAACTGCCAACCTCATAGGGGACAATTAAGTAAATACATGCATGTCACATTAATATACCTCATTTCACGATTCATTTTCACTCCATTTTGAGTACAATTAAAAACCTTGAGACTGGACTTTTTTTTGAGACAAAGAAAATAACACTTAGGCTCCGTTTGGTTGGATTGAGTTGGAATTTCAATCCAATATAATTGAAAATGACATATTGAGATTGTAATTCAATCTCAATTATTTGTTTGGGAGATTTTAAAATTGACTAGAATTAAGGTTTTAATACCAATTTTTGCGTTTGGATGCTGTAGAATTTATATATTAGAATTGCTTATTGTCTAACTAATCAATACAATTCTAACTTTTTCTTAAAGAAAAAATGCATTTTTTGTATACAATTTGTTGTATCAATTTTAAATTAATTATATACAATAGACAGTTATGATTTCTTTTAATTATGTGAGGATTATTAATATGATAATTAAAACTTCCTTGATCTCACGCAACACACAAACAAATAATAAATAAAACCTCTTTGTTTCTCTCCGTTTTATTAGATTTTAATATTTTTAATTTCTACTTTTTGGATTTTTGTTTTTTGGGTAATTTATTCGCATCTTTAATGAAAAATTTAATATTTGATATAAAATCAGTTCATACATATTAGTATTCTTTTATTAACTACTCCCTCTAACTCAAAATTATTGTTCATTTCAGATTTTTATTTTTAATATTGTACTAAAGATATATGCTATCATTTTTGATTATGTATGTATATAAAAAAATTATTACGGAAAATCATTTATGTGAACATTGAAATTTCAACTCAATAAACAATTAAGTCCTCGATCAAACATCTTTGTTGTTTTCTCATTTTATTTTTAAAATTTTTGGAACTTTTTGAAATATTATATTTGCACAATCCTAAAATAATTGTCCAATTTAAAATTTTATTTATAGTGAAAATCTAAAGCGAACAATCATTTTCAGACCAAGGATGTATTAGTTTTAGTGTACAAAATGTATAAATCATTTACGATTATATAAATCTTCCTTGACCGAAGAAAATACAATTACTCAGTAATATTTTTAAATTTATTTTGGGTATGGAAATATTTTAATAAAATTTTTGCAAAAAAAAATATCATATTGAGTTAAGAGATAAATTTTGTTGATTTGATAACTATCACAATATTATATATATATATATATATTTTGTTAATTCATTATGCAAATACTTTTAAAAAATGGAGAAATAGACCAAAACCAAAAAAAAAACAAAGAAAAAGATGCACACATTGTGCGGATTAGGAGGGAGACCAAAAAATTAATTAAAAAAATCAAAAAAACAAAAGGCCTTAGCGCGTGAAAGAGGGAGTTTCCTTGTGGTGCGTGAGTTTCATGTGTCAGCCATTTTTCCAATTTGCTTGATATTTAACCCGTTTTTTTATAGCCCAGTTTTGCCTAGTTTGGACCCGCGTTTTTTTAAACCCCCGAAATTTGAATTGCAATTATTTGCACCGATAAAAGAATTGAAAATAAAAAAATTGAGGTTCATCTTGAATTATAATTCTAATTCTGGAACCTCTATTTTTGTCAGCAAAACACAAAAATTGGACCTCTAATTCCAATTCTTGGATCCAATTCAATGAAACCAAATAGAGCCTTAGTTTGTTTGATATATCGGAATTAGATCAAGAGCATAGTTTTTGCATTAGAGATCATGCCAATAACGATGCTTCCATATTTTGCTTTCACAGTAATATAGCTAAACGTACGCCATCCATTTTTAGTAATTCCATTGTAGAAATGTGCCATGAAAATTAACACAAAGGGATTTATAACTAAAAAAAATACATTTTTAAAAATAAAAACAAAACAGTACATTTTAATAATTTATAAAAGATATATCACTCTTGAAGAGAGTTGTTTAATAATGCAGGTGTAGTCTTTGGCAGGAAATAATCTTACTTATCAAAAGGTTGAGGGGGAAAACACACATAAGAATGTTGCTGCCATTTTTTTTTCTCTTTCCATCTTATTCGATTTTTTTCCCCTTCATGTATGATCAAAACCCAAATGAGATTCATAAATCTAATTATTAAAAATAGACTTGAAACAAACAACAAACCCTAGCAATCATTCACATTAAAATTTGCACTCCATTGAACCCAAAATAAGGGTCGTAAGTATGTATCGTTTTAGTGCTATTTTGATGCATGTGGAATGAACTAAATAGACCCCTTAGATGTAGTCTCAATGTTGCCTGAACAACTTTCCACACTGGATAGCTGCATATGATCTAATATTCATACTTAAAAGCCAAGAAAAAAAAGGGCAGTTTCAAAAGCTAACATTGAATAAAGACAACTTGCAAAATGGAGGTGAAGGACATTTGAATTCAATCCCCCCTGAAAGGGATGATGGAGCTCTTTTTGATGTAATGAATTCCAACCAGTTTCCTGGTTTGAATTCCTCTATATAAAGAAGCATCGTATTTTGTTGTAGAATAATCCATCGTTTTGATAGAACTAATAATAAATTACTTTCTGGTTTGGAATAAACTCTGGAAGCTCAGATTGCCGAATCGTATCCTGCAATTTCTGTGGCGATGCGCCACAGATTCGATCCCTAGTATGGAGAATCTGGGAAGACGTGGCTGTGATCTGCCCCATGTATGCGCTTTTTGTAAGTTGCCTGACGGATCAACCAACCATTTGTTCTTCTGGTGTACATTTTCTTCGCAAGTTTGGCGTGCAACAGGAATCAGAGAATGTTTATTGAGATTCCATCAACCTCGATGGGATCTTTGGACACAAATGATCATCCTCAAATGTGATAAAAGGGTCTCTGAATTGTTCGGTGTCATTTGTAATTCCTTGTGGTATGCCAGGAATGAAAATATTTTTGGCGATCGAAGGTTTCAGTCGACAGTGTTGGCTTCTAACGCAGTTAATGTTCTCAAGGAATTTCAATCAGCCAACAGACTACCTGAAGCACCATCGTCGGCTTTGCGTTTCTGCCACTTAATTGCTCCCTCTACACTGCATAACTGTATTTTCTTTGATGGAGCAATCTCAAAAGCTAGACAGTGTGCTGGACTTGGTGTGTTTGTCAGGGATGCTTCGGGGACCTTTTATTCTGCCAAGGGTTGTTGTATCCAGGGAACAACTTCGGCCGAAATTGCAGAATTCATGACTCTAAAAGAAGCTCTTCTAACCCTAAAAGATCTCAGGCTCCAAAATGTCACCATCATGGGAGACTCGTCGGTGGCGATACTTGCTGCGATGGGTAAAGCCGATTGCTCTTTAGCTAGTTTGCCAATCCTATGCGACATTAGGGTTTTACTTTCGGAGCTTTCTTTTTCTGCTTTGTATTGGATTCCTATAGTTAAAAATGGTATAGCTCATGCCATAGCTAACAATTCGAAGTCAAATGTGATTTCGGCTACAACTTGGACATCTCCGCCAAGTTTTCTGTATCAATCAGAGCTGGCTAAATTCCAGCAAGTTTAATGAATTATTACCTTTTCTCATAATCATAATAATAATAATAATAATAATAATAATAATAATAATAACTAGATGTTTGGCCCAGGCAGATGCCCGGGCGCCCCTTTTAAATTATTATTTTATTAAAATCTAATTGAATTACTATTTTTTGAGGAATTAATTTGCTGTATATATCATTTATGCTATGATTTGGGGCATAAAAAAATATACCTATAAATCTGAGGTTATAAGGGAATAATAAATAATTAGTTTATAAGGCATTATTCTTAATTGCTGGATTTAGGTATTTTTATTTTTGTTTATATTAAGCTGCAAAATTATACGATTGCACATTTGAATTTGAATTAATATATCCATTCGTTTGAAATGTAACTGATCCTTATTTGTAGTAAAACATGTGTTTTTTTAAAAAAAAAAATCATATAACTTCTAATTAAAAGAGACTTACACGTGGCAAAAAGACTCCTGAAATCTGAAATATGGTGCATTGGAGCCAAAACAGATGCATACTTAGTTGCCACATAAGCTTCATGTCTTCTGCTTTAATAGGGTAAAAGGATAATAATAATAATAATAATAATAATAATAATAATAATAATAATAATAATAATAATAATAATAATAACTAGATGTTTGGCCCAGGCAGATGTCTGGGCGCTCCTTCTAAATTACTATTTTATTAAAATCTAATTGAATTACTATTTTTTGATGAATTAATTTGACGTATATATCGTTTATGTTATGATTTGGGGCTTAAAAAAATATACCTATAAATCTGAGGTTATAAGGGAATAATAAATAATTAGTTTATAAGGCATTATTCTTAATTGCTGGATTTAGGTATTTTTATTTTTTGTTTATATTAAGCCTGCAAAACTATATGATTGGACATTTGAATTTGAATTAATATATCCATTCGTTTGAAATGTAACTGATCCTTATTTGTAGTAAAACATGTATTTTTTTTAAAAAAAAAAAATTATATAACTTCTAATTAAAAGAGACTTACACGTGGCAAAAAGACTCCTGAAATCTGAAATATGGTGCATTGGAGCCAAAACAGATGCATACTTAGATGCCACATAAGTTTCATGTCTTCTGCTTTAATAGGGTAAAAGGGATAAATTCCTTCTGAATTGCCAAAAAAAAAAAGACCCAAATGGGAGCTCGAGGGCAAAAGCAAGGCGAGACGGCATGTGTGGCATGACTCGATGACAAAAACAAAGCGAGAAGAGAAGATGACGGCCTGAAGGAGATAACAGAGAAGGGAGACAATAAATGTGATTAGAATTTGAGGTAAATAATGAGATTTGAGGAGAAAGATAAGGGCAGCATTCAAATTTGAGGCATGACTTTAGGAAATTATCTTCAATCACGTTATTAGTTTAATGAGGCTTATCAAATCATTCAATGAGAGATATACGTGAAGAAAGACCAGGCCATTTCAAAATGGTTTTTTGAACAATCTGATTATCTAATCCAATGTCCATAATATGCGGCAACACCGCCCCCCTCTTGAATGGTTCTATTTAATTAAACAATAGTCACACACATAAAAGACGGATATGGTTTGTTATCTCTTGGTCTGACCCACCAACGGAGAAATATATTCGGAGCAAAGTCGCCGGGGAGGGAACCTGAATTCAGGTAGGATTGATTCCGCTAGTCAAAAGAGGAAACATCACGTCGGCTCAAATTTTTGGAGGGACCATCACCGGAGAGTTAGCGAAGGGAGAACACTCAATCACGGGATTTAATATCAGTCAAAAGCTGAAGATAAAAATCAAAACCACGCCGAGTAACGCACGATCAGATCATAAGGCACAGTCAACAACAACAGGAATCGAGGAAGAAGAACGATCAATAAACTGAAAATGATATCCGGAAGATATGTCCTATGGCAAAGGAAAAATTTATCGCCAAGGACTTTGTTAACGGATTTCAGAACCGGCATCATAAATAAACAAATGCAAGAAAGGCGGCCAGTACATACTAATTAATGGTCGGAATAGTAATGGTCATCATAAGGGTGAAAAAAGAAGAAGAATTCGGCATTATTTCTATAAAATATAAATTTTACAAAGCATGATAATTGGTAAATTAGTGTAGATTTATATAGCGGAGATATTGTAAACTTTAAACTTATGATGTTTTTTCTATTTTCTCTCTTTCTCGGAGAATGCTCCATGAGGCCCTCTTTTCCAATGCCTTCTATTTCCGTCAATGGATTCAGACGATCTAACAATTTCATCATGATTTCCAATACTATTGTTGATCAAAGGATGTCTTTGTTAACCGCTGCGATTCCATCCAACTCATCATCCCCTCCTCACTTCTATAAACTGATCCATTTTAAAACTCAAAATCTGTTTTCACTATTTAAGATGGTTTCTCCCATAACATCAATCCCCCTTAAGGCGGGTTACTTCAAAAATCTAATGGTGGTTTTGATAGATATTCAGGATATTCCCAATTCACAAAAACCTCCCTTATCTTATTTTTTCAAAAACCAAAACATGGTTTCTCGTCTTAATCTGAAACAATCTAATTCAGCATATCCTCATGCATTTGTTTTCTTTAAATACCGCAAAAAGAAAGCTCTGTTTCAATGTGCTAATTTCCTTCTTCTATTGCCTCTAATACTGCAGGTTGTTCCTTTCTCTTGGATCTCTCGATTCTCAGCTTTTGTCCAGTCCTCTCCGCCTTTCTCCCCTCCCGTCACGGCAGATGAATTGGCAGCCTTGTATTCCAAACTCTCTTTGAAAAATAATCTAACCCTCACTGAAAAACAGATCCCTCCTGATAAACTAGTTGCCTCGTCAGATGCTATCGAATTGGCGGTTCAGGGTGTTACTTATTTGGTCGCCAAAGTCCTTGGTAGCCAAGATTACAGCTGTGATGCTCTTCTCACCAACATGATTAATGCATGGCACTGCAAGGAAACTGGTGAGACTGAGTCAATCGGTAAGAATCAATTTCTTCTTTCATTCAATCTACTTTCTGACAAAATGAGAGTCTTGGAAGGTGCCCCTTGGACCTTGTATGAAAATTTGCTGGTAATTGTGGACTACAAAGGGGATATTTCTTTCAACAAACTCTGTTTCACCAATTCGCTGCTCTGGGTACACGTTTTGAATGTGCCGGCAGACCTCATGACTCGTTCAACGGCTGAATTCGTTACAAATAAGATTGGCTCCTTCATGGATATTCAAACAAACGCACAAGGGAATTGCTGGGGTATCTCTATACGAGTTAAGGTTCTGATTGACATCACCAAGCCGATTCCCAGGATGCTAGAAGTTGAGTTCAACGATGAGCCCCTCACGATGTACTTCCAGTATGAGAAACTTCCAATAATGTGTTTCTTCTACGGGAAAATTGGCCATCTTAAAAAAGAATGTGATGACAGGTTGTTGAAAGGAATAGCATTGAACGCAGAAGACACGTGGGGAGCATGGTTGATGTATGAAAGCAACAGGAAGCAATCGCCGGCGTCCGACCGACTCAGATCAGCCACCGAAGCAAAATTCCGACTGGAATCTCCCAACCAACACCCTAACTCCACCACAATCGGGATCCATTCCCAAACAGAACCCCCCCAGATCCGCCGAGATCCTACAAAGCAATCCAACCTGACTATCCAAATCCCAACCACTTCAAATCCTATCTAGGGTAAACCCAACCAAAATCCAATCATGCTCCCTCTTGAACCACCAATTGGCATCAACAGTTCTGAAAATATGTTGATTGATTCACCCCGAGCCACTTCGGTTTACCCCCCTCCAAATAACTCTGTAATAAATGATATCCAATTACCCAATGATCCAATTATTACCACACCAAAATCAGTATACCCAAAGTCTAACAAAACAGCTCAGCCTGACGACCCAATCCCTCAAACTATTATTCCGACTTCAACTAATGCAATTCCAGTGTGTGTTAGCCCAAACCACCCAACCCCAAAAGAAAAAAACAAATCTATTGTCCCATCGCCCAAACCGAATAATACGGACTCACCTCTGAAAAGCACCCGAGCCAATACAACCAAAAGCACACTGAAAGATAATAGGCACCCCCCAAACAGCCAAAACCCTTCAAACAGAATGTCACAGGGTAGCTCTACTTCCCCCCTACCCAAACGCAAGCTCTTCAACCCGAATGAACCAATCTCAAAAGAAAACCAACCGCCTCTCCTCCCCACCCTGAAAAAACTCAAACACTCTACTCAATCAAACCCCCCCTCAATCGTCCACTCCAAATGCCACACCTCTGAAAACCACCCAAGCAGAGAAGAAGAAGGAAGCAGCGGCGGAGACCGACAAGAATCGGTCCCCCCGACACAAATAAGTATTATAGCTTGGAACTGCCGGGGACTTGGGACTCCTCGAGCAGTTAGAAAGATTCAAGAATTAGTTCGTAGGAATAATCCCTCTGTTATTTTCTTATGTGAAACTAAGTGTTCTACATTTCAATTCAATAAGACAAAGCGCTCCTTGCGCATGCTAGGTTTCTGTGTAGAATCTATAGGTAAATCAGGAGGTTTAGGTTTACTTTGGAATAAAGACGTGCCAGTCGTAATAAAAGATTTCTTTTCAAGATACATTAATGCTCTTGTATAGCCTGCTGATCCTCTCAAACTTTATCGTCTTACTGGCTATTATCGTGAACCGGACACATCACTTTGCCGTTCAGCATGGAACCAATTCTAAAATCTCGGTGCAAGCACTAGCATTCCTTGGTTATGTTTAGGTGACTTCAATGAAATACTGAATCACAATGAAAGCTTCAGCCAAAGATTAAGGCCCGATTGGCAGCTTACTACTTTTAGAGATGCTCTTGACTCCTGCCAGTTGGATGACCTGAATTATGAAGAGAAGACGTACACTTGGTTCAGAAATAGAAAACATCCGGATACAATTAAAGCCCATCTTGACCGTGCCTGTGCAAATGAACTCTGGAGGAGGAAGTTTTCGGGTACAAAAGTCTTCCATCTATTCAGTCATCTTTCTGACCACATACCCATTCTTGTTTCTCTAGATCCTGCTGCAAATCAGAGCAAAAAAACAAGGAAAAAAAGATTCCGTTTTGAATCATGTTGGATCTGACGGACAGACATTGAAGAAGCCATCAAAGAATCATGGAACGGAGATAACGTTAACCTGTTGGACAAAATTAGTGATTGTGCGATTGGTCTAGTGAATTGGGACAAGCAATACCCCAAGGTTAACAGGAAAGCGATTGAAAGTCTCCGAGAAGAAATAGAGAAACTACAAAAAGGCATTTTAAATGATCAATCTCACGAAAGCTTGATGGAAAAAAAGTTGATTTTGGAAACACTCTTAACTGAGGAGGATGATAAGTGGCGTCAAAGGGCGAAATTACACTGGCACAAGGAAGGAGATCAGAATACAAAGTATTTTCACGCCTATGCCACTAAGAGAAAGGAGGTCAATGACATTAAAGGCTTGGAGAACAACTAGGGAATTTGGTGTACAAAAGAGAGTGATTTGGAAAGCATAATTGTCAACCACTTTGGTGAACTCTTCACTGCCAATTCACTACCAACAGATGACCTTCATTTTGCCTTATCCCTAATACGGCCAAAGGTGTCGAGAGACCAAAACCGGAGACTGGAACAACCATACACAGCACTTGAAATCAGGAAAGCTTTAAACCAAATGTACCCCACCAAATCTCCAGGGCCGGATGGTACGCCTCCTTTGTTTTTCCAAAAATTTTGGCCTATTATTGATGATGATGTATCTCTCTACATTTTAAATTTTTTAAACCATGGCACTTTTGATAAAAGGTTAAACTGTACACACTTGGTCTTGATCGCAAAAACAAAATCTCCAAAATTCGTTTCTCAATTTAGGCCAATTTCCTTATGCAACGTTGTTTATAAAATTATTTCCAAGTGTCTTGCTAATAGAATGAAAGTAATACTTCCACTCGTGATTTCTGATTCTCAATCTGCTTTTGTTCCAGGGAGATTGATTACTGACAATATTTTAATAGCACAGGAACTCCATCATGAGATTTTTAAAAAAACGGGTGGAAAAGAGGGCCTAATGTCAATAAAGTTAGACATGAGTAAGGCATTTGATAGAGTAGAATGGAAATTTGTGTTGTTAGTAATGCAAGCATTAGGTTTTAGCATGTCATATATATACCTCATTGAGAAATGCATCACCTCTACTTCTTTCTCCTTTCTTCTAAATGGTCTGGAATTCGGATCACTAATCCCGCAACGTGGTATAAGACAAGGGGATCCTCTATCCCCTTATCTTTTTATCATTTGTCCGGAAGTTTTCTCTTTAATGATACAGGAAGCTCAACGGTGTGGAAACCTCAAAGGTGTAGAAGTTGCTCCAACATCACCCAACATTTCACATCTTTTTTTCGCGGATGATACCCTTCTTTGTGGAAGAGCAACGGAGCTTGAAATTGATGATTTTTCCAGCATTATTAGACTTTATGAGCAAGTCTCAAGCCAACTTATTAATCTGGATAAGTCAGCGATTCTCCAAACGTTCCAAATGAGGTGGCCACAAACCTAGCAACCAGACTCGGTGTAAGACGTACTGATTCGCATGGAAAATATCTTGACCTTCCTTCGGTTGTTGGCAGGCGCAAAAAGGAGATCTTCAGCGACATTAAGGATCGTATTCGGGCAAAAGTTGATGACTTCGCAGAAAAAAGCCTTTCACAGGCAGGGAAGGAAGTTTTAATTAAATTAGTTGCTCAGGCGATTCCTTCCTACGAAATGAGTTGTTTCCAGCTCTCTGATACCCTTTGTAAAGAAATTCATTCTATACTTGCAGCTTTCTGGTGGGGTGACACAAAGGAAAAACAGAAAATTCCCTGGAAGAGTTGGGACTCACTTTGTAAACCTAAAGAAGATGGAGGACTGGGTTTCCAGAACTTAAAACTCTTTAATCTTTCACTGTTAGGAAAATAGGCTTGGCGCCTTTTGACGAACAGTCAGTCACTCCTATACCAAGTGCTGAAGACCCGCTACTTTCCTGAAAGTAAATTTATGACTTCCAAGCTTGGTTCGCGTCCATCTTTCAGCTGGAGAAGTATCCTCCAAGGAAGAAATGCTCTTAAATGTGGTGCCCGTAAAAGAATAGGGGATGGTTCAACAGTTGATCTTTGGGAAGATCCCTGGATCTCGAAACCTTTCTCATTCAAACTAATCAGCCCGCAAAGTCCTTTTGCAGGCAAGCCGACGATGAGCTCACTGATTGACAACAACTCAAAAGAATGGAATCTTGGACTGTTAAAGCACCTATTCTGGCTTGATGAAGTAACCATGATCATAAATATTCCTTTAAGCTCATTCACTACAAAGGATTTTTGGAGATGGCATTATACCTCACATGGCAAATTCACAGTGTCTTCTTGCTACAGAGTTTTGCAGTCCCATCCTGGATTCCAAAGCAGCTCGATTCCAGATTCGTCGAATACAGATGGAGATAATTCAACATGGAGGAAGCTGTGGAACATAAATATAGCTCCGAGAGTAAAACATCATTTATGGCGTATGGTAACTGACTCCTTGGCAACACAGCAGAACCTGATTAAAAGGAGGACTGATATCAACGGACGATGCAAAGGGTGCACTATACAGGAAGACCTGAAACATGTTTTCTTCACTTGCAAAACCTCAAAAGAGGTCTGGTCTAGCAGGGATTTAAGCGGATAGATAAGCTACCCTATTGTTACAGACATCAGGTCTTTCTTAGTTACTTTAATTGAATCTCTTCCAGCAAGGAAACTGCCCTTGTTTGCATCCATCTGCTACAATATTTGGTCTGCAAGAAACACTCTAGTTTTTGAGAATTACGCGCTCCAGTCTAAATCAATCCTCAATATGAGCATCTCCTTGCTAGAATCATGGAAAGAAGCACAGCTACATCACTTCCTAACTCCACCGACGACAAATCAGCCAGCAAGCTCCCTGGATTTTATGAATGGAACTACCATATTCATTGATGGAGCCACAAACTGAGACCTGAATACTTTCGCGATTGGTATCCTAATTTGGAACTCTTCATCAGGATTTGTCGGATGCTATGCTAGATCATATGAAGGGTTGTTCGCCCCATGTGTAATCAAAAGCTTAGCCGCACGTGAGTCTATCAGGTTAGTAGCTGCAATAGGAATCCAGCAACTCACTCTGGCCGGAGACTCGTCAGTGATTATAAAACGACTACAATCCGATGAAACTGACCTGTCTGATTGGGGTTTAATACTGGTAGACATTAAAGCTCGTTTTCAGGACCATGTCCAATTTGACTGCAAGTGGATTAGTCGTATATTTAATGTGGTTCCCGTTGTTTAGCACAATTTGCAAAGTCTAAAAGAGACTTTCAAAAATTTTGGGATAACATTCCGAGTTTGTATCTAATTGCGTGTTAGGCGCTTTCCCCACAAATTAATGAAATTTCGCTCTTATTCAAATATATATATATAGCGGAGATTAATTGGAGTAAAACCAAAGAGACAAATTTTGGCTTTTAACAGTTTAAATTGACATGTGTTAATTGAATTTATTGATCTCTCTTCAATGATACTTGTCAATTGATCTTCTTTCCTTTAATATATATATATATATATATATATATATGATTGTATTTCGAAAATAATATTGTCGATTTCTCTTTTTTATCGTTTGTGTAAATATGACATTAAGTGCTCCCTCATTTACTGTTACGAAGAAAAAAAAAATACATTTACTCATTTCACAAATTTTTGCTAATACTTTTAAAGTTACCAGTGATCGTGTTCTCTTTAAAAAAATCCAATTTTTTGTAATATTTTCTTTAAAAAATTGAACTCTGTTAAGATGGAATTACATGTGAGATTAGACCTTTTTTAATAGGTAATTTCCAATTATTTATGTTGATTTTTTGTCTCTCAAAACGTGTGGATTCACAAACTGCACTAATTCTCTTTTGGGGTAAATCATTATGTGATTTGAAATTATTAATTTTATCTTTTATGCTTTGCATGGTCTTATGAAATAGATATAGACAAAATGATAAATGTTATTGTGCATAGAATGCAAGATAACAATAAGTTGTGCACTAATGGTGATCAGTCTCCTACAATATACAGTGATAATGTCTTTTGAACGTGGCTGCAAGAAACAAGAGACAGTAGAGAGAAATTGTATTTATTTGCGTTTTGATTATTGAAGGGGAAAAAAGATTTTAATTTTAGTTCCTTAGATATAGCGTGCATATACATTGGGTTAACAATGCATAATGGTGAACTAAAATTGAAAATTCATATTGAACAATAATTACAAGACGGAGGGTTTACAAACTAAGCTTATGATTAGCCCGTCCGACTTTAAACACTAAATTACTTGCTTTCCTTTTTTCTATTTTTGTTTCGTTCTTAAAAAAAATTACTTGCTTCCACTTTCATCTTTTAGATACACTCCTCCAATACTCCTAAAAGGTTATTAGCAACTTAGAAACAAGGTTAAAAATCACTGTACTACTATACTACTACTTACCATAAAGCCTACCTCTCATTTAGCATGTAGATAATAAAATAAAATAAAAACAATAGATTTCAAGTATTTATTTAGGAAATACTTGTAGTATTCCTATATGGATGAGAATTACAATCCAACAGTTTTGATTATATTTATGAACTGTTTAGTCAACCAGATTATTGTCATTAAAAAAAAAGAAGAGGAAAACCTAATAAGCCTTAACCTAAATCCCAAACCTTTTAGTTTCCTCAAAACCGACATCGAGGTGGCAAGATCATATTCCGGCTCCGAGCACAATCCGACATAGTCCTTTTTTTTTTTTGAAAAAAAAATACAACCTGATCTCTTTTTTCCTCCAGGGTTTCTCATACTGAAGGGCTCAGATTCCCTTTTTTTCTTCCACTGAATTAGCAGTTATGCAGGCCGATTATGGTGGATCTACTATTGCTTTTGACAAGATGACTGATATTTTAGACATCCCTGAAAACTCCGGTGTTGGAGGGTTAACAATTCCGGTCAAAGACAGAGTTCTGTTCAGGCCGCCGGCGGCGGCCGGGAGGAAATCACAACGATCCGATGCCTCATTGAAGAAGAAGATGATGAACCCACCAAAACAAAAAGTTGTTGCTTCCGTTTTGGCATCATCTTTGAATGACGAAGAAGAAATTATGCCATCAAATGAGTCTGATGATGAAGTTTCAAACAATGTGAAAAGGGTTCAACGGAATTTCACCATTCGGAACAACAACCACCGTGAGAATGCAAGTATTCATCATGATTCGTCATACCCAGATGGAAATTATAGTCAATCTTCAGTGTCACGTGATTCTGATGATCATCGCCGGAAATCCTCCCAAGGTCATGATCAGAGGGAGTATACTGATAGATACAGAGGAAGTAAAAGAAGAAGAAGACATGAAGAGTTTAGATCGGAATTGAAGGATAGCAGACATCATATTCAACCCTCCAATTCTCCTTGGGACTCAATTGCTCCTCTAACAACTCCGATACGAGCATCAGGATCATCCACATTCTTCTCGTCGTCATCGAGTTATCACAGTAGAAGAAAATCCACCAGTGGCCCTTCACAGTTGGTTGAAAATGGGAAAAAAGATGTCACGAGTGACAATAAAAATGTGGAGATATCGGAAAGTATGAGATTAGGGATGGAGTACATTCCTGATCGTTCCTGGTATGATTGGGAGGAAGACGGTGGCGCTGCTTCAATTTTTGTTGATGATTCCGGTTATTTCCTAGCTGCAGAGGAATCTTTCAAGAAAACAGAGTTTTTGGAGAAGAATAAAAGATTTGATAGGAGAGATGGAAGCAAGATGACACTTGCTCAGAGCAAAAAATCTTCACAACGTTTCGTGGATAATGCTCGTTGGGAAGATGAGCAACTGAAGAGATCTGGAATTGTTAAGAGTACCGAATTGCAGACTGAATTCGACGATGAAGAAGAGAGGAAATATGTTCTGCTTGTTCATGATGTAAAGCCTCCTTTTCTTGATGGGAGTATTGTTTTCTCAAAGCAAGCTGAACCACTTTTGCCAATCAAAAATCCTACATCAGATATGGCCGTTATATCGCGAAAAGGATCTACGTTAGTTTGCGAAGTTCATGAAAAGCAAAGCTTGAATAAATCGAGGGAGCGGTTTTGGGAGCTTGCTGGTTCAAAACTTGGTGACATTTTGGGTGTTGAAAAGACAGCAGAACAGATTGATGCAGATACAGCAGTAGTTGGGAAAGAATGTGAAGTCGATTTCAAAGAAGACGCGAGGTTCGCGCAGCACATGGGGAAGGGGGAAGCAGTGAGTGAGTTTTCGAGATCCAAAACAATTGCGCAGCAAAGGGAGTATTTGCCTATCTTTTCTGTTCGTGACGAGTTGCTTCAGGTGATTCGCGAGAATCAGGTTGTTGTGGTTGTTGGAGAAACCGGTTCTGGAAAGACTACTCAACTAACACAGTATCTGCATGAGGATGGATACACTGTAAATGGCAGCATTGTTGGATGTACACAGCCAAGACGTGTAGCAGCTGCGAGTGTTGCGAAAAGAGTCAGCGAAGAAATGGAAACCGAGCTTGGTGATAAAGTTGGATACGCGATTCGCTTTGAAGATGTGACTGGTCCAAATACTGTGATTAAGTACATGACTGATGGTGTGCTTCTTCGAGAGACACTGAGGGATTCTGATCTCGAAAAATATCGTGTTGTTGTGATGGATGAAGCTCATGAGAGATCACTAAGTACTGATGTACTGTTCGGGATCCTTAAGAAAGTTCTTGCGCGACGCCTTGATTTTAAGCTTATTGTGACATCGGCTACTCTCAATGCTGGTAAATTTTCAGACTTTTTTGGGTGTGCACCGGTATTTGATATCCCGGGGAGGACTTTTCCTGTACAAACATTGTATAGTAAGTTCCCCTGTGAAGATTATGTTGAAGCTGCAGTCAAACAGGCTATGACTATTCACATCACAACTGACCAGCCAGGGGACATTCTCATTTTCATGACTGGTCAAGATGATGTTGAAGCAACATGTTATGTGCTCGCAGAACGAATGGAACAGCTTATTGCTTCATCAAAGAGAGCCGTTCGAAAGCTGTTGATTCTTCCAATGTACTCACAGTTGCCAGCAGACTTACAAGCCAAAATATTCGAGAAAGCTGAAGAAGGGACGCGGAAGTGCATTGTTGCTACCAACATTGCAGAGACTTCTTTGACTGTGGATGGGATACATTATGTCATAGACACCGGCTATGGTAAGATAAAGGTTTACAACCCTCGTATGGGTATGGATGCGCTGCAAGTCTTCCCTGTTAGTCGTGCTGCTGCTGACCAACGTAAAGGGCGTGCTGGTAGAACTGGTCCAGGCTTTTGTTATCGACTTTATACAGATAGCGCTTATCAAAATGAAATGTTGCCTAGTCCTTTGCCAGAGATTCAGAGGACTAATCTCAGCAATGTTGTATTGTTGCTCAAGTCTCTGAAAATTAAATACCTGTTGGATTTTGATTTTATGGATCCGCCTCCACAAGACAATATTCTTAACTCCCTGCATCAGTTGTGGGTTTTAGGCGCGCTGGATAATGTGGGTGACCTCACTGATCTTGGAAGGAAAATGGTGGAGTTCCCGTTAGATCCTCCACTCGCGAAGATGATGTTGGTTGGTGAAGAACTTGGATGCATAAATGAGGTTCTGACCATTGTGTCTATGCTTTCTGTGCCATCAGTTTTCTTTAGACCTAAAGACCGGGAAGAGGAGAGTGACGCAGCCAGGGAAAAGTTTTTCGTTCCTGAATCTGATCACCTCACTCTTCTCAATGTCTACAAGCAGTGGGAAGCGAATCATTATCGAGGCGACTGGTGCAATGACCATTTTCTGCTAGTCAAGGGGTTACGCAAGGCAAGAGAAGTAAGATCACAACTTTTGGACATTCTGAAGACGCTGAGAATCCCTCCTACTTCTTGTGGTCCTGATTGGGACGTCGTAAGGAAGGCAATCTGTTCAGCTTACTTCCACAATGCAGCAAAGCAAAAGGGAGTTGGGGAATATGTCAACTTGAGAAATGGGATGCCATGCCACTTGCCTTCAAGTAGTTCTCTTTATGGTTCAGGTTACACACCGGATTATATAGTTTATCATGAGCTAGTTTTGACAACAAAGGAATACATGCGCAATGCTACAGCTGTAGAGCCTCAGTGGTTGGCCGAGTTTGGACGTATGTTTTTCTACATCAAGGATTCTGATACATCAATGTTGGAACATAAAAAGAGACAGAAGGAAGAGAAAACGGCTATGGAAGAAGAGATGGATAAGTTGCGTTCGGATCAAGCAGAGGAAGAAAGAAACAACAACGAAAGAGAGAGGACGAAGAGAGCTCAGAAACAGCGAAAGGTTGCAGGAGTGAAACAGGGGTCTTCCAGCACTTATCTACGGCCTAAGACGCTTGATCCATATGTCTAAATAACGGTACCTGTACATACTTATCTCTTGATTTTAGAGTCTATTCAAATTTTGGTATCTCGTGATGATTACATAGAGAGATAATCGAACCAATTAGCTTCATTGTAACTGCTTGTTTCCTGTTTCTCTTTTTGATGTTTGATGAAGGGAAGACTTGAAGCATATCCCTATCGGTCCATCTGATTGAGGAAAAAGGAAAAAAGAGAAAACTAATTTCTTATCCTTTTTCATTCCCAGAAAGAGTTGTTTATAGAACTTTTCAGTTTTCAATACAATCTCACTAGTTTGCAGTTTTTTCTATAACATTTTAGTAAGAGGAGCTTAATAAATTGTACAATCAATGAATAAGAAAACATCATACACTCACGAGAAACATATCACAAGAAGAAGCTGAATATCGGGTTTGCTAACTTCTCCTGCCAAAGCAGAAGATACACCTGGGCTGATGCAGTATTCTCCTGCCTGACCGCCCAAGAGTAGCCGGGACAGGTTTTACGTTTGGTCTGCGGTGCAAGTCACTGTAGACGCTTAATTTTACTAGCATCTTTCACAATTTGGTTGCGCAATCCCTCGTGTTTAAGGATTAACAATCTAGAGAGTTCACGACAAGCTTCATGAAGTTGATCATCCTTGATGCTAGCTTCTGAGTTAAGAGCGAAAATAACTACATTGACATCTTCCTCGAGTTCGAGATAGAAGAGGTTAGTGAATATCTGCAGAACATGAAGATACATGTGAATGATCATTGCCAAGGATGGCAAATGGAAATAGAAGAGTGGATTCAGCAACAGTGCTTTTATGCAGCTAATACAATTTCATTTACACAGACTCCAACTTAAACTAGTTATGCAAATAACAATGTAACTGTAATAGACGAGAAGGAGAAGAACGCAAACAAAACCCCAGGATTCATATGGTTCAAAGTAATCTGCATGTCCATCTGGCAGGGAGAGATTCTTTATGACAGGACAAAAATATATGTACACTAAAAATAAAAACTACACAATAAATAGAAGGAAATAGGCTAGGGCCAGGAAGATAAAATTCATCAAACTTTCTCCTTTCTTTTATTGACAAACTCCTAAATTTCGGTCAGATCACGATCTATTCCGTTCACTAAAAATATTCAATGTAAACAACATAGCTAGAGTCTCAAAGGGTTGTGATGTGATCAGGATTATGACGTATATTACTAAATTCTGTAATCAAGCTTCTAACCAGGACGAACGCGATTCCTATGCGACATTAAAATATCAATTAACAGTTATATGAATCCACATCAATTCAACTCTTACCGTTTTCATCCTTGAGAAGACCATATCTTTGATGGCAGGGGATCTTGACACTAGATTAATAACGAACAAACCTTGCCTTGAAAGAGTGTTTTTGGCAGTTAATAGAAAAGAATCTTCAACAAAATCTGCAGCTGGGCAAGTCAAACCAGAGCTGGCAAACAAGAAAAGGGGAAAAAATAAATAGCCTCAATGCAGGAAGATCACCAGGGACAATATCATTCTAGTAACATGATCTAGCTTTTTAATCCTAGAATATTACCTGATATCGGCAGAATCCACGTCTACAACAAGTAAATCAATTTTACTATGATTTTCTCTCCCGGCAGGTAATAAACTGCTGCCTCCATCAGAAGCAGATACTTTTTCCTTGACGGGAGCGTCCTTAGTCCCATTATCTTCAGTTACGACATTACTGACCTCAGAACTTGCAATGTCCCCAACATACTTTATCCCATCAGTAACATGTACCTGAAATGCAACCACTAGCTTGGGTAACGATTTAAGTAAACAACACCTTTTCCTCTGGGAGAATATAAGGAAATAGCAAATGAAAATTCTCAAGGGCTAAATTCTCTTTTATAAGTTCAGGAACTTCCTAGTTTCTTCATTTTGACTCATGTAAACACCAAAAATGGCCTGGTCTTCCAAGTACCAAATCAGTAAGGGTACAGTTGATGGCCGTATATTCCAATTCCAAAAGATTCTTTGTGGTATGGAATTTCAGGAAAATAACTGCTGAAGATTTTTCCTAGTTATAGAGGGTTCTCCTGTATCTCTTTAGGCATCATACGTGAAGAACGGTAATGAATAGTAACTCACTATTGTAACCTATTATGTCTTCCATACCAACAGCTTGACACAGGGATCAATTTCTCCTTGTATGACTTATTTGGGAAGAAATAAAATAATACATCTAATTACATTGGGAGTTTCCATGAAAATTTGAGCAAATTAGTTTTGTGAGTATCATTCAAGACTGGACTTCATTATAGGTCAAAGATATACAGGCTTTAATAGATTGCTGTTAAGGATTGCTTGTCAAACATAACAGTTCCCGAAATCAAGCAATTCAGACGTCCCACAGAAAAAAGGACAAGATAAAACAAACTTTTGACTTTTCTGCCACCAGGTAGATTTCCATAACTGACAAAAACAAAAGGACTTCTTAGTAAAAGGAAAACCACAGGATACCTTCAAACGCATATCTTCTGTAACACCAAAATAATCTCTGGCCACGTCCAGCACCACAGAATCTAACTCCACAACCTGCCAGTTGAACACTTCATAACTATCACGTGATAAGAAATTGAACTTAATAATCAACTTCTTCCGCTATCTTACTTCAATCTTTAGAAACGGTAGGCAGCCATGCAAAAACATTGGCAACAATCCTGCTCCCAGCCCTACTATTACAGATTTAACCTGTAGAAGAGAAAAGGATTGTGGCAGTTAGCCTCGCCCATAAATGATGCCCTAGCCATAAAAAATTAAGAAAACCAAGTACAATCATCTCTTATAAGCTCCTCAAAAGGGAGAAGAGATGGAGATAAAATTTTGCTTGAGACCTTTTGGGAGCCCTAAACACGCATGAAGCGTCTTAAGTTCTTAAATACAGGAAATGGCTAGCAGAATGAGCAGTAAATCACATGAGCTAATCAGGCTGCAGCTGATTAGGCAATACTAGAACGTAGAAGGCAGCAGCCCATAAAGCAAATGATACACTGCGGACTACAAATAATAGAAAGCAGACCACAAGCGGTTAGGGACATGTAGTAGTTTTGATAAACTACATTTAGAAGCAGCAGTAACAGTAGTAAAAAAACATTTGAAGCAAAGCTAGCTACAATAGCAGTAACGATATAGTGAGTAACCTCATACTTGTGTGGTTGCATGGAAGGAAATTTTAAACAGATAGGCAAACTAAAGCACAGGGACACAGAGCTTTTTGCAATAATATAAACGTCATTATTATCATCACAAAGCCAAGTGTGCAACATAGCCACAGGAACACATGCTTCAAAAGCAAAACTTGTTACAAAAGACAAGTTGCAATCTTTTTAACTACTAATTAACTATGATGACAGTACAGCACGAACACGATATTAAGAACTGATCTAGAAACACGAAAAGAGCAATTTGGAATTCTTAAAGACAACCTATTATTATATGCTAAGAGGACTTTTACCGTCTCTCCCTTTGAGGCAATTTCTCCCATATATGACGCTATCAATGCTAATCCAGAAACAATTCCAGAGTGGTATGAACTTGCCAAGTAAGAGTGGTCAACTCGCAAGTCAATGATCAAATCTGTGAACATGAAATAGAAAATATAATTAAAACATGAGATATAGGGTAAAAAACAATTATCGATCATTGCACTTTTCTTGCAAGGGCACCGCAGGTGCTTCAATTCCATATTCTCAAACGAACCTTTCAATATTGCAAGATGATCAAAATGCATAATTTCTTTTTCTAATCGCTAATGGTAGTTGATTAGACAAAAAATAATAGGAGTAATATATAAATACAAAGATCCATAGCTTATTCTTACATATAAAGCATTTCCATCTCAGTGAAAATGTTTCAAGAAACCATTTTGATCTAGAAGGTTCAACGGAGAAGTTCACAGTTATTTACAATATGATTCTGAAACTGTAGGCATATCAATATAAAATTGCAAGTATTTAATTAAATTTTCAAGGGAAACTCCAAGAGAACATGCGACTCCTGAACAGCATGCATGTACCATCACAAACATTTACGCAAAGGTGCATGGTTTTATTTATCATAATAAAAGGCTCAGCTGTGATTGGTCAAAGGGCTAGCGCCCTAAGTTGAAAGTAATAGTTTGGCTGCACTATTAGTTGCCTGTTTGTATTAAACCAAGCATCGTGTTTTCAGTTTAAATCTACTCAGATTAACATTAAGTTAACAGTAGTAACCCCAAATGTTCAAGCAAAAAATTCTGATCACAATCAAATAGCCCATAAATAAGGACAGAGAAAAAAAACATGCCTGATTTTCTCTGATTTCCTTTACGGGGTTTGCTCGAAAGACGTGTTTTCTTCTGCCCTATATCATCAGTTACTTGGGAACCCGCCCTCACCAGAAGGGCCTCAGATTGAATTATACCTTCACTTCTTTCAAATGTCAAGCGCCGAAATGTCACATCCTTGGATGGAGACAGGCGACTAATATAATCATCATTCTTTTCATATATCACATCCTCCACAATGATTGGACCCGTCAAGGGTGATGTAATCTACACAGTACCAAATCCGATGCTTAATGACTACAGTTGCCAAACTTTGTTCGTCAAATATAATGTATACACATCAGAGTACAAAACTGTATCCATAACTCACAAAGACCAGAAAAGTCATACCATAGAAGCGCCACCTCTGTGTTAGAAGTGAATAAAAACTAAACATAGCAACAAGAAAATAGTAATGGTATGTTTTGGAAAATCGTTTCTATAGACACCATTTTGTAATTATGCCGGGATATATGAAACTAATTTCCCTCGTAAGTTCTAATGATAATGAGTTTGGCAGCACATCAACAACTAAGATATTGAGTATTCGATAAAGCCTAAACAGGAAAAGAAAATACGTAGACACAGCGAAATTGATAAGATTAAAAGCAAAAGTTTTAAACTGGATTAAGTAGCATGTAACTACTTAAAGATCCAAATTTACATTCAAATTTCAACATCTTCTCTACTCTTCTCTTTTGTGCTGAACCAGGAAATCCTATTTAGCCATACTAATTAAAGTCTCCCAAGACCTATATCACTCGTCTAGGACACATAACAAACAAGTTCGCAACAAGAACACAATAGTGCTACCATGGAAACGACATCAGTGACATACTTAATTTACCAGAAAATGTAAATCCAGTTTAAGTTAGAAAACTGGTGGAAAAAGATAATCTCAACCTTATGTACAATCTTTCGTTGCTTGATCCCATCACTTGCAGCCATAAACCTAAAACATACCATTCAACACACGTCAACACAAAAGTGCATCAATGAGCAACCACAAATCCCAAAAAGCAAAACCAATCCCTCAAAACGAAAATGGGGGTAGAAACTGTTTAAAGACACTGATTTTTGGCAAAGGATTACACAGCAAAAGGAGTAAACTGGAGGAGTGCCTGAAACATCAAAAAATCGAAACTGAAATTAATTGCAACAGAAACAATAGTTGAGAACATACGGAATTTGAGCTCCACGGTTGTCTCCCGGTTCCAGTTGTTTGACTAGTGGGGAAAGATCTTTCTGAAGAAAATGAAAGTAAAGTTACAACAATCATTATCCAGTTTCCCCACCATATGATGTACAATGATGCAAAATGAAGTAAAATTAACCTGGATTTCATCCATGCTAACATCACTGTGGCTGGAGTCCAGTAAAATCTATACACAGATAAGTAAAAAGTTTGAAAATATAAGATTTAAGTCTTTGGGGACAGAATCCAAATAAGATGTTATTCTTAAATTGTCAGCTATGTACCATCACTAGACGAGCAGCCTTTGAGCTCTCAACAACCATCCATTGACCTTCCTCTGAAGAATATAACCACTCATGAGCTCGACTCTGAAATCTAAACCTCAGTTACAATTTTCAATAAAAACCGAATAATTTGAGAAGGAAAACTGAAGAATTTAATCAGCACAACTACATGAGATGCTGCTTGGGGATATTAAAGAAAACATGCAGGGACTCTTTTACTAAGATACTTGTATGCATTTAATTTGATTTGATGACAATGCATCAATGTATTAATAATTTGGTTTGTAACAAGGAACACCCGAGTTCTTTATATCATGCAACACCTTAGAATTTTTGCCAAAAAGAAATAATAGCATACTATTAACCCAATATAACCATGAAAATCTAACTACAGTTCAATCTTGTTATTGAGGTTAAGGTACATGCCTTCTAGAAAGGGTCATTAGATTAATCAGATGGAAGAGTTAGATGGGAAGTACCTTGGGAATGAGAAGAGCTCCGCAGTGATAAGAAAAAGGACCAGAATCCTGAGGAGCATCAAGAAGTATAGCTTTATAAGTGAAACGGGAACCACCAGGATCACCTAACTTGAGCTGGAGCCGACGACCTGGATAAAGCTCTTCTAGATTCACTTTAGGTGCAATTTTCAGATCTTCAAGTAAATATGTTACATCAGAACCGCTGGAATATTTTGACCGTATCTCATTTTCACTTTGAAGCACTTCATAGAGTCCACGAACCTAGAGAATATCCAGGAGAAGAAATCAAGTTCGAGTTAATCATAAACAGACCTTAAACTTTTTCATTTACTCAACAAAGAACTGTCCCAACAAAAACAAAATCACTTTCCTGTTTAGATTAAGTTATAAACTAGAATCAGCCAATATTGGTCACTTGTTTAGTAAATGCATGATGGTATCCTTTCCAACTTGGTTGTAATCTTTCTGTTTTAAATTTTTTAACGCAGGGTTGATGCATCATAAATAAGTAGTTTGCTAACAGATTGCAGACTTAATAACTAAAGTAAGATAGCATCTATCTAGTACTTTTCCAGTAGTCACTTTCATCTCCAATCAAATCCATCTTTAGTGACTCATGAAAGATCAAAAAGAGATGCACAGAAGAAACAAAATATTGGTTGTGCCCCAGAAAAGTAAGCATATTTTCAAAATTTACATGACATCATATCTACGTAAGCTTGTAACCATCTCATTTAGAACAGAAAGAAACCTTTTAATATACAGAAATGAGCATTAACAAATTTTATCATGTCAAGGAGACATGGATTGCAGCAATAAAACCAGATAACTCCCCAAGACCCAGCCAAGAGAATTCTACCTGATTCCCATTTTTAGCAAAGGAAGGCAGATCAATCGAAGATGATATCTGTGAGAAAGAAGAAGAGTCATCCTTCTCAGCAATCACCATGAAAGTCAGTAGGCTAGGCTTTGCAGTAGACTTTGGAGGGATTACATGAAGTCGCAACCTCCACCCACATCGGAACTTAGGGAACAGTAGACCTGATGATAATAAGATGGCCGTGAATATGATGTCAGGGGCATAAGAGAAAGTATCCTCAAACAAAAAGAGGTAACCCATACAACATTTCAACAAAATAGCATGAAGCACCATGATTTCAAATATTCATATATAAGATGCATAGATTTTTTACCTAATACATGAGATTCAGCCAATGTGAGACACAAGAATTTTCCACCATCTTTAAGGACTCTTTTTACCTGATGTTGTGGAACGTATCAGCATTAGTTAGGGGGGAAAAAAAGGTAGGTAATTGAAGTGTTTCAAAGTACATTGGGTTAAATACAAACATTTGAAAATTTATTGCATGTCAGAAATCCAGGTACCTCGGATAGATACTCATTTCCTAACTTAGGGCCAAGCTCCGGTTCCATCAAAGCATCCAATCCTCCTTTGTCAAGTACAACATCAAAGGTCTCCTTTTCAAACTGAATCCAAAAATACAAGCATTAGACACAAAAGCTTTGTAATATTATGAAGAAGCATGCTGCAGAAGGTACACCTCACAAGTAACCATATTTTATGTCTAACAGCATTGGTTTCCTTCAACAATAAATGAAATGATTTTTACAATCAACAATGTATGCTATCTTGTAATGCTTGTTTAGTATTTAAAGCATTGAAGAGGTCTCAAGAGATTTTGCCATTAAACTAAAATCATGAGTCCTGATTATAATTGATAAAGTAATGAAAAGGTCTCATGAGATTTTTTGACATTAAACTAAAATTATGATTCCTGATCATAAAGTAAAATTCCTTTCGCGCACAGGAAACCGTCAAGACCCCAGAAACCTAGACTCCTCACCATCATTCTAGCTAAATTAAGGAGAAGAAAATCATTCCCACCAAATGTGTTTCCTTGCCCAGTAACGATATGGATAACGAAAAAGGCAAAATCAGGAGCTTGAACTACCAATTTTGATTCAACCTATGTACACATATAAAAATACCACAAGTTCTTAAACTTCAATAGTCTTAGTTTATTCCAAAAACTTCTACTAGAACCAAACCAACAACAACTTTTGGTATCAGACATGCACAATGGATAGAGGGGAACAAAACCAGGTCCTAGACGTAGTCCATGATACTCTCAACAGTCCTCTGATAAAAAGATTCGACATTATCAGGAGAAATCTAATTAGATGTGGCTGGGATGATCATGTGCTAGTTCACTACATTGAGTGGAGGGTGAATTTCTCAATGGTTATTTTTTTTTTTTTGTGAAACCTCTATCAAACTCCAGTTGTGTATCTTTTTTATATTTCAGTTGTAAAAGGTTACAACAAGACATACAAAATTTCTACTACCCTCTTAGCCTACTTCTGATGACATAAAACCAACACCGAGGTATAGAAGAAACAAAAATCTACTGGAACATAATCATCTGCGAATAAAATTTCTCAATGGTTTATTCGAGGAGTATTAGATAATATTTTTAGATAGAAGAATGGTAAATCAATCAGCAGAATGAAGAAATTCTGTCCTCTGTTCAGCTGCTCAGAGATTCCTTGGACGATGACCCCTGCCTCATGAATATAGTAGGAGAGTGAATAAGTTTTGTGGTATGGAGATAATCGACAAGAATAAAATGAAATACTAGATGGAAATGATCAGGCAGTCTTGAAGAAACTGGGCATATGGATGGCCTTGTTGACATTTTATTGGTAAAGAAAGATGCCTGAACAAATGTATTTTTATGTTTACTCCTTAACCATTTTGCAACAATAATTTTCTGTCATTCAAGAGACATCTATGCTTCCACTCTTGCATTACCATCATTCTTAAAATTCCCTGGCTTTTCGGGCCAGGGAGAGAGAGAAGTCAATGCAGCCTGGATATCAAATAAAGGAAAGAGATAGTGGAACTTTTGTTTTTCTTTTCCTCCTTGAACCAGTTGGAACATTCAACTGAGAAAGAGTGATGTTACTGTGAACTGAAGAGTAAACTGAGGTTAATTTGGGAACATGAAAAGGTAACTACAAATGATGAGAACTTGTACCACAATTGTAATTTTCAAAAGGCCAACTTTACAAATTAAGATCTCAACAACACCAATCGATATGTCCGGTTTCTTCAAGAAATCCTGATCATTTCCATCTAGTATTTCATTTTATTTTGGTCTATTAACAATATACCACAAAACTTATTCACTCTCCTAACATATTCACGAAAGAGGTGTCATCGTCCAAGGAATCTCCGAGCAGCTGAATAGAGGACCCAATTTCATTCAGTTGATTAATTTACTATTCTATCTGAAAAATTATCTAAAACTCCTCCAACTAAACATTGAGAAATTTACCCTTTACACACTGTAGTGAACTAGCACATGATCACCCAACCATAAAGGGTAAAAAGATCATCCCAACCATAAAGGAAATATTTCTTGATAATCTAAAGAAATACAGATAGGATAACTGAATATTTTTGTGTTCATTAACAGATAAATTATGAAAATCCAACTGAAGGAAATGCACCATAGGTATAGAAAATAACCTGCATTTTAGTCATATCCATAACCCGCCATTTCATTTCAGGCCTCAACCTCACATTCCTCTTCAGCATATCCAAAATCACAACTTTGGAAAAATCAATGTTGGTAATATTCCTATAACCTGTATCATAAAGGTACTCCGAAAGCTTGGAATTCCCACAACCTGGAACCAAAATCTGAACTTCCTCCGCCGCCTTTCCGCCGCTGCTGGAGCCGCCGCCATCGTCATTGCTGCTGGACGGTGACGGCGAGGATAGATGGGGCAGAAGAACATCTTTGAGCTCCGGCCACTCAGCGTACCATTCGAAAGCATCATCACTGCCTCTAATGCTGAAAAATTGATCCCAATTTTCTTTACAGGTGAAATCTCCGAGGGTTTTGAGGAGCTCCTCTTGCTTCTTCTGCTGCTGTTTATTTTTTCCCATATTTTTGCGCGGTTTCTGCTTCTGAGAGAGTTTTGAATATGAGGTTTTCCTCTGCGTTTAGGGTTTTAGAAAGGGGTTTTTAGGTGAGATTGATGGTGAGGACGCGAAGTCGGGATTCACCTACCACGACTTCAATGAACAGCAACAATTATATTAAAAATAGAGAAATTATGTATACAAAAATATCTTTTTTATAATTTTGAAATAGAGAATTGGATTTTCGCCTAATATAAAAAAAAATAATTTTTAAACTTTCGCAGAAAATCTGGATACTCTATTAATTCCAGGATTGATTGATACTCTAGTCCTTATGACAATAATTTTTTTAACAATAATGATATAGACAGTGAAAGATATATAATGAAAATGCAGGGTGACTGATGTCTACATAATAATTAGGGATAAAAGTGTAAATTTTGAGGAAAAGATAAAAACTTCAAGGAAAAACATCAATCACTTCACTATATATTTTCATTACACATCATTTTCCTTTTTAAATTTAAATTTGGGTATCTTTTTGACTAATTTAGTAATTTCTAATATGCAAGTAGCTTATTTTAATTATTTATTTCATTAGGAAAATTTTTAAGGCTCCGTTTGGTTAGATTGAATTGTAATTAAATTAGAATTACAATACTATTGAATTGAAAATGAGATATTAATATTGTAATTCAATCTTAATTCTTTCGTTTGGAAGATCTTAAGAATTGACTAGAATTAAGGTTCTAATACCAATTCTTGTGTTTGGATCCTTATAAATTTATAAAATCTAGAATTAGAATTAGTTTTTTATTATCAAACTATAGTTTAGTACTTTATTTCATTGAATAAAATAAATACTTAATTTTATATATCAAAGCAATTTATTACTTACATATATAAGATAACAAAAATAAATTTATCATATACATTTATATGAGAACTTTTGTTGTTTGAGTAATATATATCAATTTTATAATTTATAGATACATACATACTTGTGGAAAACCTTTTTTTATTATTACGTAAGTATGAATGTGATGATTGGAATTCTCACAAGTAACATGTAGAACACCCTTGTTCCTCTCCTTTTATTATTTTATAAATTTTTAATCTTTAGTTTTTTTTTTTTTTTTGGTTTTAGTGTAAAATTTTTATATAGTTGAAAGTAAAGACCATTCATTTATGCATAGATTAACATTAATACATGGTGCTAATTAATTATTTTTTATTTTTAGTATATAATTACATATGGAATAATATATATTTCGACTTCTTGAAAGCTTACATAATTTTTAGTGAAAAAAATTTCAAGTATAGTTCAAAATACATTTGATAAAAAAATATTAACCCATAATTAATACCATCCATTTTTAAAATAAATTACGGGTGTCGTTATACATTTGATAGTTTTTGTTAAAAGAATACTAATTTTAATATATAGATCTCATTAATAATTATTAATATGATGTACAGCTCGTTTGCACCATAAATAAAAACATATGTTAATTTAACAAAATACAAAAAAAAAGGAAAAAAAAATCCCAACGCTAAAAGAAAAAGGGAAAAAAAAACGAAAAAGAAAAAGGAAAAACAGCGCATGTGCAGCACTGCCAAAAAAAAAAAAAAAAACCTCAAACTTAAAATGACCCATTTCGTTATAACCCGGAAAACGACCTGTATGTGACCCGCGTTTTTTCTAAAGCCCCTAGAGTTCGAATTGCAATTATTTGCTCCCACAAAAGAATTGAAAATAAAGAATTGAGCCTCATCTTTAATTATAATTCTAATTCTGGAACCCCTATTTTTTCAGCCAAACACAATAATTGGAATTGATGACCTCCAATTCCAATTCTTGGGTCCAATGATAAATCCAGGGGCCTTTTTTTCATATATCCAAGATTATTTTATGGAACACCAATTGTATTCATATTTTTCTTTCGAGTAGTGATAGAACTAGTGAAAAAATATAGTGACATTTTATAGTAACTAATGTGGACATTGTAATTGAGGATTAATTTTTGATGGGAGAGGGGAAGAAAAATTTTCTACGGGAAAGTGGCTACAAATAGGGGGGTCATAATACTATTTTAACGAAAAAAAATGAATACACCTCAATCACTATAACTTTTCACTATATATTTTCACTATCCTTATCATTTTTCTTTTCTTTTTTTTTTCATGTCATGAATGAAACACCGGTACGACGAACGGGATAAGTACTAGTTAAAGTTTAGAAAAATAGTTTAACTCTCCTCACAGTTTCATTATATTCTGTAGTTCGACTAAAAAACTACAGGTTTCACCGACCGATCCAATCCAATTTTAACGACATAGGTTATTAAGATGTAAGGCTAATCAAGGTGTGTATTATAAGGTTTATCACAAGTTGAGATTAGGTTTTGGTTTCTTGAAACAATTCACCATTAGTGGTCGCTCTAATACCTTTTAATTTCAAAAGGACAAGGTATTCATAAAATTTCAAAACTTTTAGAAATAAGAAAACTCAATTACATCAGATTCACATCAAGTACCATGTCGTTATTTAGATAACACACCCCTAGAAGTTTCATCCACTACAACAATGATGCACTCTTTTAGCAAATAGAATATACTTTCCTCAATATTTTGTTATAACAATTTTGGCGGGATTAATCCCGAGTCTTACATTTTAGTTATATATTTGTAGAATAAAACCTTGCATGTTAAGAATTGTGTTTTTCGCGCTACTGCTTATTATTATATATGGATTTTATAACCATAATTTTGGGAATTTATCTCTAATTTTTAAAATATTATGAAACTTTTATTATGTCGACAAAAAAAAAATGATGCTAAAAATATACCCTATTTTATCTTTCAAAATTTCAATGGGACAAACAGTTTCTAGAATTAATATTATGTCTTCTAGGGCATGATTAATCTTATGTCTTTAACTTATGTAAAGATAAACCTTAGAATCCGTAGCCACAAAACTGTTATTGTGCATTGAATAACACGAGAGTAGTCGAAAAACAAAGAAACTAATAGTGTGTTTGGTTCCTTTTTTTCATCCGTTTTATTAATGCTTTCACCATCAACCTATTTGGTTTATCTTTTTTCATACACGTTAATTCAACACACAGCTACTTTGCATGCCTTTATCAACTGTCATATATCTTCCTAAAATAGAAGTTGAAAAGAAAGAATAAATTAGTGTTCACCTGTGATGTGAGTTTTTGAAGCATTCACTCCCCAAATTCATCACACACCTTCTTCCTTTTCATAATATTCATTGTTTTCTTCATCTCCTCTAAAATTTAATATTGATTTGTATTGCATTCAAGATCTGAATCACTCACATATAATCCTACTTTTCCCCGAAATCAATAGAATTCACTCTTTGTCTCTTCAAAGAGTATAATATATGAAGCGCGAGAAAAAAAGAGGTTTCTAAATTTGGACAGGAGCATGTGTCTTTTGTCTCTTCAAGAAAGCTTGTCATTTCAAAAAAAAAGCTCTTCGGAGAGTCTAGCAGTTACGTCAGAAAAGGAAAATGATTCTAAAGCTGAAGATACTGGCCAGGAGGAAGATGAAGAGAGTTTTTGAGGAGGAGAAATTAAGGCTTGAGTTTGAAAGGGATGGTGAAATTTCTATTTTTATTGGCTCCAGCCACGCTATCAATTTCATTCATATCTACCACCAATGGTATCACACCCACCTTCTCCAGTTGTGGAGACTGTAGCATTCCTAAGGGTTGGTTTTTATGAAATGCACCAACGTTACGTTTCTTTGAGGCAGTCCCCACGAATAGTCACAGTTGGAGAAATTACTTCAGTAACTCATGTTGGATATATACTTGGATTTGATAAATCAGGTTTCTTGGAAGTAAAAACCCTTTGTGAAGGAGATAATTAAGATGAGTGAGCCTTATAATGAAGAAGATCCCCTGCTTGGGGAAAGAAGTCATGGTGAAGAAATTAAGCAAAGAGAACTTGAATTGGTTGGATTCAGAGACTTCTAAGTTCGAAGTAGAAGCAAATGGTGATGAGGAGGAAACCGATCACTTCCCAGCTGAATGGGAAAAGTGCTGACTCTTAATGCAATAATTGAGGAAGAGTTGTTTCTCGTGGGATCATGACCACAAATCAAAACGGAACCAAGAATGATGGATCAGCGAATCAAAAACATTGTTTTTACTATTCCTTTTTTTTATAAGCAAAAAGAAAAGATAATTCGTCAAACTATTAATAGAAAGGCACAATACACTAAAATCTGCTACTAGCTGAACTATACAAGGAGCTTCCCATTTCATCTAAAACCAATGTCATCTAGGAATTCAGAGTGTTGGCATGGCTAAATCCTTGAACCACCTGAAAATAAAAAATAAATGTGCACAAAAGAAGAAGTTAACCACAAATAAGCTTATCTTCAAGTTGAGAAGGAGAAGATACTTCCTTTAACCAAAAATAAATAAATAAACTAATGTTCATACAAAGAGAAGGTAGATCAATCTCATCTCTTGGGAGAAGAATACCCACAAGTTAAGGAAAAAATATCGTTCCTACCTAAAACTTTACCCTCGTCGTCAATTATACCCAATAAATTTTCGGTTAGCTAACTTTACCCTAATGTTTGAAATTTTTGCCAATTTCATCCAATCGGCCCATTTTTTGTCTAAATTAACGGATCTCCGTTAGTTATTTAATAAAATAATAAATTTAATTACAAAAATATCCTAATAATTTTTAAAAATTTAAAAATAACCCCTAAAATATATAAAAATAACAAAATATTAGCTCAAAATAATTTTTAAAAATTTTAAAAATACCCCCTAAAAAATATTTTAGTCTCTTGAGTTAAATTATCATACACTAAAATATATTAATTTTTTTATTTGAGCTAATATTTTATTTTTATGTGGAATATTAGTTTCATTTAAATATTTTTAATCTTTATGTTAGGAAGAATAAAATAAATCAGAAAAATAGTGTCTTTATTGCTAAACTATATTATTAAAAAAATTAATATGCTTATATAAATACAATCATGGGTTACAACTATACAAAGATTAATTTTTACGATAGAGTTTGAAAATAAATAAATATTTTTTAAAAACTCATATAATAGACTTTTATGGTCATTAAAAGTAGTTGAGAGAAATGGAACAAAATAGAGAAAAATAAAATAATAAAGTAAAAAGGGACTGTTTTGTTATTTTTATATATTTTAAGGGTTATTTTTAAAATTTTTAAAAATTACTGGGATGTTTTTGTAATTAAATTTATTATTTTATTAAAAAGCTGACGGAGATCCGTTAATTTGGATGGAAAATGGGCCGATTGGACGAAATTGGCGAAAATTTCAAACATTAGGGTAAAGTTGGCTAACCGAAAATCTATTGGGTATGATTGACGATGAGGGCAAAGTTTTGGGTAGGAACGATATTTTTTCCAGTTAAGGAACAAGACGGCCTCCCCTAAGTTTGACGTTGTATTAAAATTTATTATGAGGAATTGAATTTCAAATTTTCTATTTGAGGTTCATTATGCTCTGTAAATCAGATTTGTCGATACTGCAAAATGTTGTATGTTCTTTTGGTTTCTTAGTCTTGATTTTGTTGTTTGTTGTGTTTCACTAGCTATCGCCGCCTCTAATTCATACACCATTTTTCTAGTTTATACAACTCTTTCTCTTTTTGGTTTTGCTTCCTTTCTTGTGATAACCTGATGCTCAAAGAGGTATTCGATTTTGCATTTGGAATATAATGATAGTACTCCTTCCATTTCAAAACGTAAGTCGTTTTAGATTTGGAGAAATTTTTCAAAATGTAAGGCGTTTTTAGCATTTCAATGCAAATTGATGACTATTTTTCCAATTTTACCCTCAATAAATTATGTCAATCCATTTTTATTTAGTCTTGTTTATAGTTTCAATATAATTAATGAGGGGTAAAACATGCATTTAATACATAAATTAGTTGTTAAATGATTGTTTCCTTAGTTTACGTGTAAAATCTAAAGTGAATTGCATTTTGAAATGGAGGGAGTAGAAAAATAAGATCTATTTGAGGGACTTTAGATAAACTTATGGAGTTCTGCTTAAAAGATAAGACTGGAGTTGACCCGCCAAAACCATTTACCATTGCCATTTGGCGTCATTTCATCAACCAATGGCAAATTGTATGTAGTAGTACATTAATATTACAATAGTGGGACTAACATGTGGAACTGTAAAGTAGCTGCCCATCACCTTGCGCTTTTCCTAACTGTTCCTATATTTAGTTTATTCACTAATTTATCCAGAAAGTACTAAAACTTTGGTCTTTATATTCATTTCCTACTTTAAGTTGAAAAATAATTTAAGTGCCACCATAAGTTGAATGTTTGTATCTTTATACTTTGCCGCCCAACTTTTATTAAATAGTTAACATTCAACATTTCAATCATTGACTTATCAAAATGGCAAATTTGTCATTTGCGGAAAAATTCTCTCTCTCTCTCTCTCTCTCTCTCTCTCTCTCTCTCTCTCTCTCTCTCTCAATTTTTAAAACTTATTTCCTTTACCCTTTTGGAAAAATTAATATTTACTTTATTTTCCTGGTTTTGTTTCCAATAATTTGTTTTTTAACTTCAAATAAAAACAAATTTGTATGAGTATGCGGGGTTTTCTTAAAAACTAAAAGTAATAGAACATAATTTCTTTATTCTATTTTTGTATTTTCTTTTTTTCTCCTAAGTCATTCCGCAACATCAAATCATTACAACTTAAATTAAAACCACTGCACTAGCCAGTATCCACCCTTCATCACCACTATAATTTCCCCACTTTTTCAAAAATTCAAAAAGAAAAGTTTTTAAAAAAAGAGGATTGTCATGCCGGAACTCTAAAGCTGATGGAGAAGAAGAACAAGGCTCCTGCTCAAAAAATTCAAATTCAGTCAAAAGGGAATTTGGCGGCCGATGGAAGAGGCGTGAAGTCGCAAGGTGGAACTTTGCGTTCTAACACTCCATCGCAAGTAGCGAAACCTAACAAGCAGTCGCAGGGTGCGATGGGGAACCCTAGGTCGCAGGGCGCGACTCTTAAGGAAAATATGTTGCCTGCGGGAAACCCAAAGCTAGCGGATGGACCGTTGCGCAAGGGGGTTACAGATTCTGATGCTTCGACTTCAGGGTTATCTCGGCGTGAAAAAGAGGCCATTCCTGTAGATGTTTCAGCACCAGAAGTGGAGAAGTGTGATGGTTCTTTGCAGACTGAAGCCGCGATGACTCAACCCGACGCCTTAAATGATGATGATAGTGTAGAGATGGTTTATGTGGAGGAGTCACCAACTAGAATAACGGAGGATCTTAGTAAGGCATTGGTATTATTCGAAAATTCAAAGAAACCGGGTTTGTTAACTGATGATAACTCTGTTGGTCTCTATAGTGAGGTTGTGGAGGACACAACTAATGATGATGAATTCTGGTCTGAAGGTGAAAAGGATCAAGCGGTGATTGTGGGTGAGATTCTTGGCGAGTCCACTATTGCAAAGAAACGGGGTAGAAAATCAAAGGCCGAGAGAGCCGCCATGATGGAGGGGGCCCTTCTCCGGCGATCTTCCCGGCTGAATTAGGTTCTTTTTCCTATATTTTTATCCAATGATTAATCATTTATTTTGGAATATCGAGGTATAAGGAATCAAGAGTCGCAAAGGCGATTAATGTCTCTACTTCGGATGTATAACATTTCTTTGCTTGTTATTTTGGAGCCTATGCTTCGGGTCAATAATCATGATGAAATAAAGAGTTTTTTGCATTTTGATGTTGCCTATGCCTCAAGTAATAGTAAAATTTGGGTCTTTGGTAAAAGAGATCTTGATGTTGATTTGTTGGAACAAATAGATGAGTCACCTTATAATTTTGAGCAAGCTAAGCTATACTTGTTGAATTTACAACTTAAAATATTGGCTAAGCTTACCTACAAGCCTAGGAAAATAGATGACGTACATAGGAGATTACTAACTATAAATAGAGGAGTGAGCTCTTTTCCTTCACAGTCAAAATCTCCAGGAAAATAGAGGAAAGAGTAGAGAAGGAAGGAATGAGATTCGTGAGACTGACCTTGGAAATAATAGAGGAAGCAATCATGGTTTAGCGAGGTAATGACAATAACCGCACTCTGAGTTTAGTGCTTTAAGTTTGTGAGTGAAATAGTGCTTCGTATCATGGATTAAATTACTTATGCTTCTAGAATTGTAGTGGTACTCTTAGAATAGTTAAATATAAGATGTTCATGTGTAAATTTGTTAAAAAATTCAAAACCCGTAAATAGTTGCTATCTCCGACAGCAGTGCATGGTCTTGCTAAATTGGGCATAACTATCTAATAGAATTCTGATTTGAAACCGATTGATGCGTTGTAAACTAGATTCGTAGGGCTTAGTTGCAGTATAAGATTTACACATTGATTCGTCCAAGATTTGCACAGTTTAATCGAATAAATTGACCCTGAAACGATTAATCTCTTTTCTAGCTTCATCACCAATGTTCTATTTGAGATTTGGGCTATTCTTAAATTGATAGACGTCACAATTAGCATCCCCTTAAGCTCCCTTATTAATTAGTAGCTAAGTATAGTTTGAGATTATTGAAAACTTGTGGTATTTATTTAGTTTAATTGTTTAATGGCTAGCAGAAATAATAAGACTCCAACTTACAAATACTTTATTGCACGATACTATTGGACAAGGACAACATGATTAAGGATCACGATATGTAACAATAATAGTGCACTAATAATAATGTCCGGCTAGTAGCTTACAACCATTTGATATATTGCAGGAGACACCTATACCGAAACAATGGTTCATAATGTTACTGTGAGTAATTCTCACTCTTTTAAAATTATTTTAAAACCTGGGAGTATGGATACATTTGAAAAGACACTACACATGAATACATTTTTAAAAGTATGTTTGAAGGTGAGGAACAAGTTCCTTTTTGATGGCATGCCTATTCTTCTTAATATTGTGTTTGATATGATTAAGAGGCATGTAGAAGATATGCAGATGATTCAGGCTATTCAAGCATCTACCCCAGCTGAAAAGTCCTTCTTGGAGAGTGTACTTCCGACTTTGCAATTCAGAGTTAAGTTGAGAAGCTTGAAGGTTGTCAAATGGAAACCTCCGGATGCTGATGGTTTGGTCTTAAATACTGATGGTTCATCGTTGGGACAAAGTTTGAATTTGGGATATGGTTTTTCAATTCGAGGGGCGCAAGGGGTTGTCATCTATGGTGAGTCTGGATTTCTTGCACTACAAAAAAACCTGTCATTACCCACGACCCAGTTTCGTGGGTAAAATGCCTACATGGTCGTGGGTGAATTGATTCTCCCACGACTTACCCTTGAAAATGAGGTGGTGGGAGAATCGCTCGTGGGTAATCACTCTCTCACGGACGGTCAACGCTCCCTGGGTAAATTCTCCCACAGAAACTGAGAGTTGTGGGTAATTTACCCACAACAATTTTCGTGTGTAATTCGTGGGAGAATAGTTTCTGAAACAATATAATTGATGAGAATTACCCACTACTTTCTGTGAGTAATTGGTGGGAGAGATAATTAATGAATGATTTTAACAAATTGTTGCCCACAGTTTTTAACAAATTGTTGCCCATGGGAGAAAGTATAATTTGTTTCTTTTCGAATGTTTTTGCCCACAGTTTTTTCGTGGGTATTATTTTTAAAATATATTTAAAAATATGCAATTTTTTTCCTGGTATCCTGTACTGTAGCACAATACTAATGTTAAAAGTGCACATCTAAAAATTATAAATAGATAACATATTAATGTACTAAAATTCATCATCCTACAATAGATCCGAAAGTTACACATTAATGAACTGAAACCAAACAAAACAAGTTTATATAAGTCACTACTTAGGTTGATTATAAACCAACCATTCTAAGCAAAGTTCATAGAAGCTAATTAAGTAACCTGAAAATAACATTTGGAAAGCATCAATTAAGACTATAATCATCACTCCTCCATTGAACTTCCCTCGGAATCAGAATCATTTGAATTTGGATCACTTGTCGTACCTTTCGACCCTTGGAGAGACTCATCATTATCAGCTTCAAAATCTGGGACTGGTAAACCATTTTCCCGGCAAAAACTCTCCATGGTAGTCCTCCACTTATTCATGGAACTGTTCATCTTATCCATTTTCAAAGCATATGCATCAAGCTTGTCATTCGAAGCTTCAATGTTCTTCTGCCTTTTGTCTACATGGGAATGTGCTGACTTTTTGCCGTCCGAAGGAAACTAGGAAGTTGCTTTAGAGCCAAGACCGTATACCTTTCTTTTCTTCTCACCTTCAGCGACTTTGTAATAAAGTGCATATTCATTGAGCCGACGGTTAATCCCTTCCTCAGCGGTAGCCTGAAGAACTGAGTCTCGCAGAGCCACATATTTCTCCTTTAACATGCAATTCACACAAAAAAATAAAACCACAGTCAATACTCACAGCTGATTGGGAGCATTCAATAATCAATTCAAAGATAGCGAAGTATCATTTCAGTGAAACTCATCAACAATTTCAGATTCCCCTGAATACCATCATCCATTTCAAAATCCACAGGATATAGTCAACCATTTAATTCATACCAAAAAACAGTCATTACTCATAGTTGAATGAGTATTCAATAAGTCATGCAAAGGTAGCGATGTATCAATTTTGTGACAATCATCAAGAATTTCATAATCCTTCAGAATCCCCTGAAGATCATCATCCATTTCAGAATCCCCAGAAGATAAACAACCATTTCAGTCATACAAAAAACATAGTAACAGTTGAAGATAAGCAATCAAAGTTAGCAACTTATCATTTCAGTTGCAATCATCAACAATGTCAGCATCCCCTGAAGATCATCATCTCTTTCAGTATCCCCCATGGATCATCAACAAGTTCATTTATACAGAAATTACAAGTCCAACAGCAGAAAAGAAACAAGAAAGAATATTTAGATCTAGGGAATATACCATTCAGCACTAGTTTCAAAACTTACATGAACTTCTCGAGATGTAGAATCAATAAAATTCTTTAAGTCATGATTCTTTGTATGACTATAGGCAAATAATTCATATGGTGTAGGCTCTCGACCTAGGGCAAGTGCCTGCAAACAGTGGGATTTAACAAATATATATATAGTCATACAAACAGTAAATCCTAAATCCCACTATAAATATATATATATATATAGTCATACAAACTATATATATATAGTCATACTTGCCCTGGGTCGGTGTATGCTCTCAACCCAGGGCAATTGCCTGCAAACAGTGGGATTTAACATTATGAGGAACCTTGTTTGGCTTTGCAGCTGAAAGTTGCTCATCAGTAACCTGGATCGACTTTGCTGCTGCATCTTTATCAGGAACCTGTTTCGGCTTTGCTGCTGAAAGTTGCTCATCAGGAACTTCGATCGGCTTTGCTGCTGTGACTTTATCAGGAACCTGGTTTAGCATTCTTGTTGCAAGGTTCTCAGGAACCATACTCGGCTTTTCTGCAGCAAGGTTATCAGGAACTTGCTTCTGCTGTTCGGGTGCAAGTTTCTCGAGAACATGGTTTTTTTCTGCAGGGTAATCAACTACAATGGGACTGGAGTCATCATTCAAACTCTGAGAGGGGGACTGAATTCTCCTTGAGTGACGTGCTGACTTTCTGATGTTGGGAACTTGGTTCTGCGATACAAGTCTTCTAAGGTTCTGAACTGAAGCTCCTGTAGTACTCTGTTTTGAAGATCCGGCAGTCAGCTGAACTGAAGCTCCTGCAGTACTCTGTTTTTGAAGATCCAACAGTCAGCTAAACTGAAGCTCCTTCATTTTCCTGAATTAGAGAAACGATATTGCAATACAAAAGTGATTTTCTTGTTCTTGGTCGCATGATATCTTCTTTTGATCCAGCCTCAATCTTAACCTGAAGTAATTTTGCTGCATTACCTTTCACCATATCTGCAACTGAAACAGAAACAAAGACAGAAATGCATCAGCAAAACAAATCTGATTCGAGACAGAAATGCAACATATACCAAAACAAAAACATATCTGATTCAAGTGAAAATTTAAAAAAAGAAAGACAGAAATGCTTCCAGAGAATCACCTGTAAGTATAGAGATTGTGGATGTGATTTTGTTACCATGTTAATATACAGAGATAGTCTTTTTATGCTTTAAACAAAGATAAAGTATGGAAATACAAAGAAGAAAAGAAAAACGAAGCCTACAAGATGACTATTCCCTATCGCTAAAAGTGTTATCATCCTCATCTTCTAAATCAACATAAACACCACTTGCATCATTTAAAGGTACAACATCATCATCAATAACATCAAATACATGATTTTCTACTTCCTCAGCTTGGAAAGCCACATCAAGTGCATGGATATTAAAATCAGCCCTAGGCTTGATTTTACACATAGACCACCAATCACTTTTGTCTTTCTTCATGCTTGGATAAGGCGTGTTGTACACTTGTTGAGCTTGCGAAGCCAAAACAAAAGATTCATACTTCCCGAACCTTCTTTTATGGTTGATATCAACAAGATTGTATTCTTTATGAATCTTTATCCCAACATTGGGAGTTGTATCATACCAATGATACTTGAACAAAACAATACGTTTCATAGGAAGCTCAGGGTACTCTAATTCCACAATTTCCGTCAAAGTCCCATAATAATCACTTGATTGATCACTATAATTAGACCTTATTATGCACACTCCACTATTGAATGTTGATCGCATCTCTCCATGCTTACATGTGTGGAATTTATACCCATTAACAAAATAAATTGGAAAAGTCTTCACAATTCATAAAGGGCCAAGGGTGACATCTTCGATGAGCTTTTTATTGATGTTGCTCCTTGAATCATGTGCCTATACTACAAATTGAAAGTCAATATGGAATATAAACCTGAAAAGAATTACCTATGTATTTATGAGACACTTACATAGGCTCGAAACCAATCCGCGAATTCCCTCTCGAGCTTAAAATCAAGTAACACATGAGATATATTGGGTTCTCTAGCATGAAGCTCCTCAATGAATACTTTTCAACATATATATTTTAAAGTAGAAGTCATAATAAGTTAATGGAAAAAACTAACTTATTGGAATGGATTCCAACAACTTACTTGATATACTCATCAATTTTTTCACAATTTAGTAAGACGTAGGGCCTTGCGGCATCATACACTTCATCGGTCAAGCGTTTTGATATTGGTTGCCCATATGATCGGCCGGGAAATGTGCATATAGATTGATTCTCTTCATTGAAATTCATGGTCCTGCCATCATCATAACGAGCAACTCGATTCATTTTTGTGCTCACACGAGGCTCAAAATAGTGTGAGCAAAACATTGAAGTTTCTTCCACCAAATAAGCATTACATATTGAGCCTTCAACTCTTGCTTTGTTGGTCACTTTCATTTTCAATTTTCACAAAAATCTAAGTCACATAGAAAAACTAATATTTACATGGAAACCTTAGAGAGAATAAAATATTATTAAAAAAAATATTCTCTGTTGACTCTGTTGACTATGCTCTCGTGACTGTGGGCGAAAACACCTTCTAGTGTGTGACGTCAATTTCGTTTCTCCGACGTAGCTACGTCCGCCATGGCAAGAGGAACGAAGAAGAAGAGCAAAGCAGCTGTCAACGAACATCACGAGCAGCCAGAACACGAAAGGAAACTGCAGACGATTGACTGCGTGAACAATTTGGCGAAGGATCAGGTTAGCTCAGCTCAAACTAGATCTGGACTTAACTTGAATAATTCGTTGGAAAAAGTTGGGAAGTATAGGGTAATTGAGGTGGGGGAAAGCTCACAGAGCTCGGGAATTGATAGATCGGGTAGAAAACAGATGAACAGGAAACATTGGTGAAGGGAGTATGGCAGGGATTTGATCCCAAACAACTGATGGTTGATAGAAAGCTTTCATTCATTAAACCGGAAGTAGTCCAAGATCGAGTGATCAGTAGAGTAACTAAGGCTGAAATTCAGACGGAAGTGGAATATTGGAAAACATCGGTGGCTTGCTTTGTGTTGGGAGCTCATCCTCCATTCCCTGTTGTCAATGGATTTATCAGAAGAAATTGGGGGAACTCAGGAATTGATAAGGTGGTGCTGTTAGAAAATGGAATTTATGTAATTAGATTTAAAACGATGGAAGCTAAGGAAAATATTCTGAAGCATAGTATTTACCACTTTGATAACAAGCCGTTTATTGTGAAAGATTGGTCAGTGGAAAACGATATAGCTATGGAAGACATAAAATCTATCCCAGTGTGGATACAGCTGCCA